TAGTTACGGGCAGCCAACGGATCCTGAGTCCTTCCCAGGTATAGGTTCAAGGACAAAGGCCTTGACCCAGGGGCTCACTGGGACTTTATTAATTCATGAAGAAGGGAGTGGCTGGAGGATGAGTCACTGTGAGACAGGTGGGAATTACATGAATACTGTGAGCTGGGCTAGCTAAGAGGCTAGAAAGCACTTCTGCAATATGCAGAGAGAAAAATATGCAGAAAAACCAATCTGTAACATAACTGAGGCAGCATTTATTGTTTAAGCTGCAGCAGTGCTTTAGTTTTGATGTGCAAACCTTTTCTGTCTTGAGAAATCATAGCTTCTTATCTAGAGGCTCGAATACAGTTGACAGCTCTGTAGCACTGGCTCTGCATCCCACTGGGCTCAACTATTTGGGGAGACAGTGAGGCAGAGAAACAGTGCCTGTCTTCTGGCTTTAAAGATTACACATCAGTACTTCAGCTAGTTCCATTTATATTGCTTACAGCCAATTGAAGGGAAAAGGAAATAACTCAACCAGCTCTGTAAGTATCAGTACATGGAAATAGGGCCAGGTTTAGCCAAAGTGGAGGTAACTGCTGTGTGTTCAAGGAGAGCCATCCAGGTGGTCTTCTTTATATTAATATATATATTTGTGTGTAGATACATGTGCAATATGGCATGAACTTGAAGATTCTGCCATTTATTACATACATTACCTCTAAAAAGTAATTTAATATCTTGATGAATCGTGTTTCCTCATATGTAAAATGAGATTTAATGGAATTACTGTAAGAATTAAACAACTAAAGGCATACTATTTAGCTCATAGGGCCTGGCACATATATATTACTTTGCAGTAATTTATTAACAATACTTAGTGAGCATTTTTGTATATCTCTAGTATAATCATAAAATTACATTTAAAATTTCAAATTCTGGCTAGGTGTGGTAGCTTGTTACCTATAGTCCCAGCTACACTGAAGGTTGGATTGCTAGAAGCCAAGGGATTGAAGCTAGCTTGGGCAACACAGCAAGTCAGTTCCCCATCTAAAAAATAAAAAAAGAAGGGGCTGGGGATTTAGCTCAGTGGCATAAGCGTCTGCCTTGCAAGCAGGCAGTCATGAGTTCAATCCCCAGTACCGATACAAAGGAAAAAGACAAAAATAAAAACATAAAATAAAATAAGAAGAAAACATGAAAAAAGCTCAAGTTAACTACAGATGAAGCTTAGGGAAAAAAAAAAAAAGAAAAAAGCTCAAGCTATTAATAATTTAAAAAATAGTAAGATCATTTAAAATTACTGAAATTTTTTGTCTAAATACACATGTTGGTTACTTTTTAGCATTAAGAGTCTCACACTTTAGAAAACTTTTTGGAAAAGACGAGAATATCAATCTATATTTATGGAACATAAATTTATCTTTTTTGCTGGATGCAGTGGTGTATGCCTATAATCTTAAACACTGAGGGAAGGTAAGGCAGGAGAATTCTAAGTTTGAGCCCCGCCTGGACAATTTAGCAAGACCTCAACTAAAATAAAAAATAACAAGGGCTGAGGATGTGATTCATTGGCAGAACACCCTGGGGTTCTGCAGAGTGTTCTGCCAATAACTGCAAAACAACAAAATCCACGTATCTTTTACTGTATCACTATACTCCTAGGAATTTATTCAAAATATATATTGATAATGATGTTCATAAAGATTGGGTACAACTAAGAAACTTGTTAAGTATATGCAATGTCCTTATATCCTAAAATATCCTAGGATCCTTAAAAACATTAACAGGGTAGAGCTACATATGCTAATATTAAAAGATTTTCAAAATAAAGTGAGAAAAGGAATTAAAAAACAATACATAATTATCATTTCATTTACATTTTTTAGATATTTGTATATAAAAGTAAATTGTCAATGGTGCTTCATTATGGGGAGTGAAATAAGAAGAGACTTCTATCTTCCAACTCTTCAGTATTATCTGAAATTTTTTCATTTGCATTTTTTTCTTCTTTTAGTGCTGTGGATTAAGCGCAGATTCTTCTGCTATTAAGCACACATCATGTACTCCAGCAATGAGCTATAGTCCTAACACATTATTAGAAGTGCCCTCCTTGTGAAACAGGTCTCACTATGTCATCCAGGCCAGCCCCAAACTTGTAATTATCCTGACTCAGCCTCTCAAGTATCTAGACTTACAGGAATACACCAGTGTGTCCAGCTACTTTAAATTTTTTAAAAATTGTCTGTGTGGTAAAATATACATAGCATAAAATGTATCATATTAAAGTCTACAGATCAGAAGCATTAAGTACACTCAAGTTGTACAACCATTACCATCACCATTTCCAAAAATTATTTCTTTTATCTGAAAAAAATTCTTTTGGTACCAGAGATAGAACTCACAACCTTGCACTTGCCAGGCAAGTGTTTACAACACTGAGCTAAATCCCCAGCCCTTTATCTGAAATTTTTATTATGGGCACATACTCTAAAAAATTTTAAGTGGGATATGGTGGTACATGCCTGTAATCCCAGCACCTGAGAGGCTGAGGCAAAAGGACTGCTATGAATTTGAGACCAGCCTAGGTTATATAGTGAGTTCAAAGCCAGCCTAAACTACATAGCAAGACCTGGTCTAAATAAATAAATAAGTAACTTTATTTATTTAAACTCTAAATCTTTTTAAAGTTAACAATTTTTGTTTTGTCTGTTTGAGACAGGGTTTTGCTATGCCATTCAGGATGGCCTTGAACTCACTTTATAGTTCACGCTGGTCTTGAACTTGCAATGATCCTCCAGCCTCAGCCTCCTGAGTGCTAGGATTATGAGAAATACTGCAGGATCAGATTGCTTTATACAACAGATAGGTTTCACTTGATTTTAAAAGCCACCTCAACCCTGCCAATCTATTTTACCACCAATGAAAAATTTGGGATACATAAAAGTTTTAAAATCATCTTAGTTGGGGCCAGGAATATAGCTCAGTGGCACAGCGCCTGCCTGGTAAGCACATGGTCCTGAGTTCAATTCCCAGTACCAAAAAAGAAACAAAAAAAATAAAATCATCTTAGCTTTAATTTCCCATTCCTAAAACCAAAATTGTTTTGAGAATTTTTTTGTTAAACATAGGATGAACTGGACAATGTTATTTAAAGTTTGCCCTTCTTTTACCGGGGTTACCTAGAAAGAAAAACAGTTAATGGCCTCAAATGGTTTTAAATCAAGCAAACCCCCCAGAATCAAATATCAGCACCTATCCTGACTAGATCACACCAGTTCTTGTTTCCCCCAAGGTAGATAATTCTATATGGTTGATATGAGTAAGTAAAAGATATAGCTAAGACCCACAGAGTACACAGTAGTTCCAAGTTTAAAAAAAAAAATTAACTACATAGTAGAGAATAAGCAGGTGACCAACACTAACAACACTAATGAGAAGCAGATTTGCTTCTCATTATCATGTGCCATCAGACGTAATATCCTAAAGACACAAAATGGGGGCTGGGGATTTAGCTCAGCGGCATAAGCGCCTGCCTTGCAAGCAGCCAGTCGTGAGTTCGATCCCTGGTACCGATAAAAACGAAAAAGACCAAAAAACAAACAAACAAAAAAAAAAAGACACAAAATGACACATAGATTTTTTTTCTCTCACCTACTTATAGAGTTTTCCATCTGGGAATGTATTACCTGCATCTAATCGTAAGGTAATATCAAACAAATCCAAAATGAAGAACAGTCTATTAAAAAAAGGAGGATTTTTAACCTTAAAAAGTCAATGTCAAAAAAAAAGTCAATGCCCTATTAAAGGCCACAGAAATGTTTCTGAATAAAGGCAAATAAATAGACATGATAAATGAAAAGTAGTATTTCACCCTAGATTAGAAACTGTACTGAAAAGGAAAAAAAGCTGTAATTAGCTAGCCTTGGTGGTACACACTTACAGCCCTAACACCTATGAGGCTGAGGCAGGAGGATTTCAAATTCTGACAATTTAGCAGGATCCTATCACAATACAAAATACAAAAAAGGAGGGAGGAAATGGAAATAGTGGCCGGGGTGGGGTGGGGGGAGGCTGGGGAGATGATTAAAATATGTTACATGCATATACAAATCTGCTAAAATGGTGCATTTCTGTAATCCCAGCACTTGGCTGAAGTAGGAGGAGCCAGTTTGAACTAATGGCCTCAAATGGTTTTAAATCAAGCAAACCCCCCAGAATCAAATATCAGCACCTATCCTGACTAGATCACACCAGTTCTTGTTTCCCACAAGGAAGATAGTTCTATATGGTTAATTAGCAAAACTCTGCCTTGAAAAAACACAATCAAAACAAAACAAAACAAAATCTGCCAAAATGAAACCCATTAATCTGTATAATCAATATGCACTAATAAAAACTGCAGGACTGTTGAGGAGGGATGGGAATGTAGCTTAGTGGGAAAGCCGCAGGTTCAATCCCCAGTACAAAGAAAAGGAAAGTTGAGACAATTACTGGATCAAACTAACAAAATTATAGAGGTGACAGATTAACTTTTCCTGAAGTTGGTAACTATACCATTATTTAATATAATATCAAGACATCTGGAATTGATAGACTATAATGCAGGCTTGTATGGAATGGGTTGAGGAAAATATTACTTTAAAAAACACATCTGTATATTTAAAAGAATGTCAAATGACAATTCAAATAAGGTAAAATGTCAGTAATAGATGAATATGGGTCAAAGCATTTGAGTATAATTTGTGTTTTTCTTATTTCTGCAGTTTTTCTAGTAGTTTTAAATCATTTCCAAATTTTTAAAAAGCATACTTAAACAGTTTTACATAAAGACCTCTGGTTGAAGAGCCAGAATTTGAGGGAAAAACGCAAAGGAAAAAATGTGAAACTTGGAAAAGTAAGTCTATTTAATAAACAAATCTGGGACTGAATGAAATCACACAATTTAAAATAAAGAGAAATTAAATTCTAAAATTAAATTTAAGACTTATCAAACAACATTTGAAAAATATAAATACCTTAATTTAGCCGAACGTAGTATTCTGGTGAGTGAAACACAGTTTCCTTCCATAATTCCCTTTCCAACCGTGGGAATAATGCTTTTGCGGCACGCAACATACAGTGAACATGCCAACCAGTGTATAACTTCTCCCTGGCAGGCAAAAGACAAACAGTAAAATGGATATATTATGCTAAAATGCTTAATTCTGGAACCATAAGATAGCTGAAAATTATCTGATTAACACTTTCCTTCAACATATAAAGGGTCATACAAACAAAGATATTCACCCAAGGTCCCAAAGCTAAGTTAGTTGCAATAATGGGTAAAAAACTTCGTATTTTTTGTCCTGTGTTTTTATAACAATAACATGATAAATCAGTACTAATCTACAAATTGAGCTTTCCACTTCATTTCAAAACTAGTATTACTGAAAACATTGTTTCAAAATGTCCCAGCATTAGCTTTCTTGGTTTTAAAACATCAGTCATGAAAAAAAAAAAAAAAAATCAGTCATACAAATTTCTTTTTATCATTTTTTTTTAAAAAGCCATTTTGGAAAAGAAAAAACAGTAGAAAATTGACAAGTGACTCACACACAAAAATTAATACCCATGTATGGGCTGGGGATTTAGCTCAGCGGCATAAGCACCTGCCTTGCAAGCAGGCGGTCGTGAGTTCAATCCCCAGTACCGATAAAAAATGAAAAAAAAAAATTAATGCCCATGTAGTATTATGTGAAGAAGATTATCATTTTTATGAGGTAAAATTTTGGGGTACCAACTCAAAACACATTGTCATTAAAATAGTATCTTAAAAGGTATCTCAGTTTACAAACCCACCAAAAAGGTCACCTCTTAGAATATGACATTTAATTTTCTTCTTTAGATTTGAAACATCTCTAAATTAGAATCATTTTATGAATATTGCTGAAATATAGGATTAAGAATTATAGATCAAGGGTGCCAGGGATTTAGCTCAGCGGTTCAAGTGCTTGCCTCATAAGTGCAAGGTTGTATGTTTGTTCCCTGGTACAAAAAAAAAAAAAAAAAAAAAAAAACTATGGGGGCTGGGGATTTAGCTCAGCGGCATAAGCACCTGCCTTCAAGTGTGCAGTCGTGAGTTCGAACCCTGGTACTGATAAAAAAGAAAAAGACCAAAAAAAAAAAAAAAAAAAAAACTATGGAGCTGGGGATTTAGCTCAACGGCGTAAGCGCCTGCCTTGCAAGCAGGCAGTTTTGAGTTCGATCCTTTGTACCAACAAAAGACAAAAAAAAAAAAAAACTATGGATACAAATTTCAAAGAATAAATCAGACATGATGGCACAGGCATCACTTGAGAGGTGAAAGCAAGATCACTTAAATTTAAGTCCAGTCTGCGCTACAGGGTGAGTTCAAGGCCAACCTGACAGTAGCAAGACTGTCTCAAAAAAACACAAACACACACATGCACACACGTGTGCGCACACACAAGACTCATAGCATAACATACTGTTGTGCAGATCTACAGATCAGACTTTAAAAGGATAAAAACATTGATTTAAAAATTTTTTTCTTTCAATAATCTAAAAAGGATCAGTAGATACTAGTGACCATCAAAAGCTAAAGCTTATTGTCTATACTAAAGGATAGACAAATCTTACTTGCTCAAAGCACTAAATATAGTAGGTAAGCTATGGTTGAATGTATCTGAATATAGCCTCCTACATGAAAACACCAGTAAAATACAGAAATATAAGCACTTCTTCCTTAAGAGTCAACTAATGTTATTTATTCTAGTTCCTACTCTGGATGCTAGACCTTGGAAATACAAAGATAGTTTCTGACCTCAGAGAATACCAAGTCTAGAGCTAAGGAAGAGTAACAGAAACCATTGTTTATAATTGGTGTGATACAGGCTCTAAGAACTGAAGATAAAATGCCATGGGTAAACACAGTGTATTAACTGTGTTTCATTAGAGTTTAGGGAAGGGTTTGCAATGACTTAAAAGTGTCACATCAGCAAAAACATACATGAGGCATGAGGGGGAAATGTAAACAAGGGCTTGTTGGGTAGAATAGGGGGGAGAAAGACTGGGGAGAAATTCTCAGCAAGCAGGAGATAGGAAAATACTCTAAGTGGCCTCCACCAAAATAAAAGGAAAAGTTAAACACTCTGTAGAACACATATCACAAAACCTCAACTCACACATCTATGCTTTCTAAAGCAAACATATAGTGTCCCAATCAACTTTGCCTAACCAGAGATTTAGATCTTCAACTTTCCCTGGAGTAATGAGGGAAAGGTTTCAGGTTCCCTTCCAAGTTCCAGACAGAGTGAATGCAATGCAGAACAACTAAGAATAAGCAAGTCATATTCAGGAATCTGAAACAGGCATCTGCTTCAATGCCTTGGTCATAGTTTGCACTTGATAAATGCTTATTCAATGAGAAAGCACATGAAGCCCTGGGATACTGTTTTCTTAGGCTTTCAAAAATCAACCTGAGCAAGGAATGGTGTATTCACATGTTTTTAGTCCTGGTATTTGGAAGTCTGAAGCAAGGAAGTTGCAGTTTGACACCAGCCTAAGCAATTTAGTGAAATCTTGTCTCAAAATAAAAATAAAAATGGGCTAAAGAACCAAGGGACATAACTGCAAGCTCAGCACCCAAGAAGTTGAAGTGGGAAGATTATGAGCGTGAGGCCAGCCTGGGCTACAGAGAGACCTTCAAAAAAATAAAAAGCTGGGATGTAGCTCAGCACTCCCTGGGATCCAATCCTAGTGGGAAGGAATCAATCTATTTTCAACTGAGAGACTATTAATTTACCACTTCCTTTACTTTCTTATTTTTTTTCCCTCAGTTTTCCAGTCATGCTAGCTTCAGATGCAACTTACTGCACCTTATCCAGTCTACTCAGTCCTACCCTGAAAACATGCACGTCTCTCTGAGGTATTTTTCTCATATATAGACATACATAGTTAATCCCAAACTTCAGCTCTATGACTCTGAACCCAGTAATTATTTCACTGAATCAGAGGAACATCCTATACATAGTCCAGCCTCTTGGCTCATGAAAGCCTTTGAATATAAGACCACTGGCGCAATATACTGAAATACAAAAATCAACCTGAGCAAGGAACCGTGTCTCTCTCAGTTGTAGGGGTTTGGATCCTAGAGGATATCAAAATCCAGGATGCTCAAGTTTCTGATACAAAAAGGCAGACTACTTGTATATAACCTGTGACCATCCTCTTGCAGACTTTAAATCATCTCTAGATTACTTAATATAATGTAAATACTATGTAAATAGACCTACCCTATTATTTAGAAAATGACAAAAGTCCATACATATATGCTTAGTAGAAATTCAACTTTTCCCCAATTTTATTTAATCTGCTGAACTTGCAGATATGGACGCCTACTATATATTCCATCGCAATTCTTTTTTTTTTTTTAAACCGGTATCCGGGCTCGAACTCACGACGGCGCGCCTGCAAGACAAGCGCTTATGCCTCTGAGCTAAATCTCCAGCCCATGAAGCCTAATCTTATCTAGGCTTCAACATTAAAATGAGGCTGGCCAAAACAATCTTCTGAGCCTTGACATTATCATCTGGAAAATAGATGGGTGCTGCCCTGCCATATTCACAGGGATGTTGTGAAGACAAAACAGTAGAACAACTGGGATATCTAATAATGTTAGATTTTATTCAGACCCAGGCACGTGGCGCTGAGGTAAGCTTTGTGTATATACTGACTTTGCTCAAATGTCTGCAAAATGAACAATTTCCAGTGCACTGGGTGAGACACAGCTGACGAGTTAAATAGCTCAGACTTCTGAGTCGGGCTTTCTTCTCTTTTCGGGCTTTCTTTCTAACCCTGTGATCTCAGGCATTACACAGCTTAACTACTTTGAAGATCTGCTCTTTTTTCAGTGGAACGGGAACCACAGAACACGTTCAAAGAGAACTGTGATGATACATTCAAAAGGCTGAGCCGTGGGGTCCAGGCACGCATTTTAGTTTAACGGCGGTACCAAGACTTCTAGAGCGCAGGGGTTTTGCACTGGAAGCCTAGAGACTGGGAGACCCCTGAATGGCGCGGGGCTTTGGACAAACTTCTGCTTTTCTGGGTTTCGTTTTCCCGTTTCAAAAAAACGAGTGGGTTGGCTGATGTACACCCACTCCCCACTCCACACTCCAGGGCCCCGGGATACGCAGCGACCCTTCTAGGTGGTGAAACTCCCACTACCTCCATAGGCCGGAGCAGGGGCGGGGCGAGGGTGGGGCCTGGCGAAAGTCCGGTCTGGCCGCCCACCTGCGCGGCTCACCTCTAGGCTGTAGTTACCCCGGATGGCGGTGAAGTCGTCCAGGGCTTCGGCTGCGCTCCCCTCATCCAGGTTCAACTCCTGGCATAGGGCCTGCAGCGCCTCCCCGGCCGCGGCGACCACCGCCGCCCCCTCTGCGAGGGGAGCGTCCTCGAACATCCCCGCGGGCGGCGCGCCGCAGCCCGAGTTCTTTCTCCCTCCCTGGCGCACTACCCACAATCACCCGCGACAAAGCGCGCGAAAATTGGCTCGGAAGAGTGCGTGTTTGTATATGTGCTTCCGCTTTTCTTCTTTAAAAAAAGAAGTCCGTTTCTTCTCCTAAGCTGTTAGTCGACCCTTTCTAGCAACGTGATAAGGAGATGAACCTCCGACCCTAGTAGGATGTAGTTTTGCCCCAGGCGTGCAACGAGGGTCCTGCTGGATGGAGGGAAGAAGGGAAAGAGGGGAAGGTTAGCGAAAGCGGAGGGATCCGCATGCAGATCCCACAGGATTTGTAGTCCGGCTCTATTGGAAGCCGCGGCACCGCCCCTGTGTTGGCCACTTTTACCTGTGAGCTACGCAGCGCAGACGGGGCTGGGCTGGATGGCCTGGGCTCACTACAGCTATGGGCCGCATTCCTTCTGAGAATTCTGCTGTATTATTATGACAGCTATGGAGTCCTGGGTTTGTCACTGCCGCGAGGCGTTAAACCTAGTCTGACTAGACGGGGACCTAGCTCAGCGGCACAAGCGCCTCCCTGGAAAGCGCAGAGTCCTGAGTTCCGATACCAAAACCAAAACAAATCAAAAATACTAATCTGACTGAACCTTGCTCCTTAAATTAGCAGGGGGTGGGCTGGGGATTTAGCTCAGCGGCATAAGCACCTGCCTTGCAAGCAGGCAGTCGTGAGTTCGATCCCTGGTACCGATAAAAAGGAAAAAGACCAAAAAAAAAAAAAAAAAAAAATTAGCAGGGGGTGGCAGAACAGCCAAACGTGGTCGCTGGTCCCCAATATTTGCAAGCGCACGTAGAGCTGGGCGACTGGTGAAGAAAGGATAGAATATGAAGGGCCCCTTCGTGGACTGGGAGAACTCTCATTTCAGAAGGAGCGCTGGCCTGTGGCTAGAAAGACGTTATTAAGAAAATAAATCAGAGCCTGTCACTCGTTCACTCAGGAGATCCTTCTAGGCCTTAAAACAATATTCACTCTCCTTTCTATGACCTACAAGGCCTGCCTCATTGATTATACCCCAACCATACGCACACATGTACACATGGCATATATAAATTCAGGCTTTTTAATCTTTTATCTTGAAAATGCAGAGGTACTGAGCTAGTTCAGGGGAAATATACATACATATGTATATGTGTGTGTGTGTGTATATATATATATATATTTGTTTGTTTGTTTTGTAAGGGGGATCGAACTCTTGCCAGGCAGGCGCTTATGCCACTAAGCTAAATCCCCTGCCCCCCAGGGGAACAATATTAAAAATTGACATTTTGGAGGTTTGGCATTGACAACATATTAGACTCAACCTCACTTATGTCTGTGTGGGCAGCCATGTGTATACTTAAAAACAAGATAAAAAATAAAATCAATATGCTTTCTTTCATATTGATTCTATTTTTTATTCCCTAGGGCATGTTCATTTAATACAAAACTCAGCTTTTCTGAATAGAAAATTAAGTATGGGTGAGGAAACAGATTTACTCTGCTCTTCATTTTTGATCCAGGCATTTTGATCGGCCTCTCAGACAAATGACAAATATTTAGAATATATAAAGAGCTTTAAAAAAAAAAAGACCTCCCAAATTTAGAGACCCAGTCCAAAAACAGACATTTGAAATGAACAGATACTTCTCAAATTAAGACATAGAAATAGCACATTGATAGATCTGTGGGGGACCAGCGTCAGCTGAAAAGATAAGAAGTGTGAAATATAAATGACCTTTATTTTGAGAATGCGAGGAGAGACACCCCCTATCCCCTGGAGCGTGGCATCCCCCCCCCCATCTCTCCGTGGAACACGTGGAGTGGGGGCCTATATGTGATATGTAGCTTAGGTTAGGGGTGGTGCCTGAGGAGGCATTAGGGATACACAGGTAGCCCATGGGCACTAGTTTGGCACCAGAGGTAGATTCCTAGGGGTGGGGAGATAGAGGCTCCTTGGTTCCGGCTGAGGCTTTTCCAGCTACAGGATCCAGCCTGGGCTAAAACTCTTTCACAAATAACCATATGAAGAATGTTCAACATCACTGGTCATTGTACAGATGAAAAATAAAACAATGCTGAGATTCCATCTTACTCCAGAAAGAATGGCTTTATTAAGAAATTAATAACAAATGCTGGGAAGGCTATGGAGGAAAAGGAACCCTTCCCCGTTGTTGGTGGAGAGTGTAGACTGGTACAACCACTGTGGAAATAAGTGTGAATATTCTTCAAAAAGCTAAAACTAGAGGTTCCATTTGACTGAACTTTCTAGTTATTTTCCCAAAAGAATTATAAGCAGTCGTGAGTTAGATCCTTGGTACCGATAAAAAAGAAAAAGACAAAAAAAAAAAAAAAAAAAAAAAAGGGCCACAGCAATATGTGCACACCTTTATTTATTGTGGCACAGTTTGTAATAGCTAAACCTCAGAAACAGCCAAAGCCAATCAACTGATGAATAGATAAAGAAGATGTGTGTGTGTGTGTTTTTTTTTTTTTTAAATACAATGGTGCACTACTAACCGGCGTGGTGGTTCATGCCTGTAATGGCGTAGTGGTTCATGCCTGTAATCCCAGCACTCGGGAGGCTGAGGTGTGAGGATTGTTGCAAGGTCTAGACTAGCCTGGGCTACAAAGTGAGCTCAAGGCCAGCCTGAACTGCATAGCGAGACCCTGTCTCAAAAAAGACAAAACAAACAAAAAAATGGTTCATTACTCTTACATAGAGAAGGATAAACTAAAAACATTTCTAGTTAAACGGATGCACCTTGAGGCCATACTCTTAAGTGAAGTAAATTGGACATACGTGTAAATATCACATGGTTTTTCTGGTGTGAGAAACCAAAAGGGTAAATAAGGACCAAAATGTATAATAAACATTTGGAAATAGAAAGAATGTTCAAATGAGAAGGGGAATAAGAAATGGGTGAGGGGAAAAAGAATGGACAAGAAAAAAAAAATGGAAACAAAACTTTTGTAAATAAATAAGGGAAGGGGCTGGGGATTTAGCTCAGTGGCATACGCGCCAGCCTTGCAAGTGTGTGTTTGTAAGTTCGATCCTGATAGAACTGTGGCGGGTAGGAGGAGGAGGAGGAGGACCAGCAGTGGCTGAAAAGATAAGAAATATAAATAACCTTTATTTTGGGAATGTGGGGAGAGACACCCCCGACCCCCTGGGGCGTGGCATCTCCACCCAGGGGCTGTCGATTTCTCCGTGGAACACGTGGAGTGAGGCACTTAAGTAGCCTCGGCCTGGGGTGGAACCTAAGGGGGCATTAGGGATGCACAGGTAGCCCATTGGTCTTAGTTTGGCGCCAGAGGCAATTCCTAAGGGTGGGGGGAGAAAGGAGCTCCTTGGCTTTACAGGCTATAGTATCCAGCCGGGCCAAAACCCTTTCAGATCCTCGTTATCCATAAAAAAAAAAAAAAAAAAAAAGACAAATAAATAAATAAGGGAAAAGAGGGCTGGAGATTTAGCTCAGTGGCTTAAGCACTTGCCTGGTAAGCACAAGGTAGTGAGTTCAATCTCAAGTACCAAAAAAAAGGGGGAGGGGGGAGTGCAAGAGGTTGTAGGCAGGGGAGGATAATAACAAAAAAAAGAAGAAACAAGCTATATCATGTACCAATGTAAATTCCCTATGATTAATGTTATTATTATGTATATCTAAATATACCAATAAATACATATTCCTGGAAATATAACATCATCTTAAGCCTTGCTTTATTAATTATCTATACATAATTAACTCATCGGATGAGAGGGACAGACAGAAAAGGAGCTTAGAGGCAAGAAGACAAGAGAAGAAAGAAGATGCAATATTTACATTATAATTTTACCTAGTGCAGTTTACTTGCTTAGGGATGTTGCCTGAAAGATTCTCCTCTCCTACAATTCCATGTTTTACTTATAGAATAGTTTAATCTTTCTACAGGAAGAAAAGAGTAATTTCTTATAAAATAGGTATTTTGGTATAAGAGGAAAAAGCAAAACTCAAAAAAGGGAAAGGCTAATCAAGACACAGATGGGTCAATAATAATGAACAATATATTTTAATAGTGTATAGTACAATAGAAATAAAGCTAAAATGACAGCTATATTGAACAAAATTAAATGTCCCAAGATTTTTGTTTTGTGTAGTTTTAAAAATTCATGAAAACATAAACCTGTCTCTGCAAATAGCTTTACATACAAAAAAAAAAAATTGCACTATTTGGGTTGAATAAACTTGTTAATGCAGACGCTGTCAGGGACTTCTTAGCCTTATCCAAAGCTGAGGTGGTTCAGTATAGAGTTGTCCTCTGTTTCTTAATGGATGCTTCTGTCTGTGAATTTTAACACAATAGAGCATAAAATAAAATAAGTGTTACTTCAATTGTTACTCCCTCCCCATTAGTGATGTTACTCCAAAAATAAAAATTTGCCTGAGGGAAAGGAAGTGAAGCACAAACTTGAACAATGAGAAAGCATTCATTGAACACTGTTCATATAACTGGAGATTCACGCTAGCCTGTGAAAGCACAAGTCTCTTACATTTTTGCATTTGAAACAGAAAATTCATTCATCCATTCATATTTAAATATAAAACTTTAAAACAAGTGTATTTGAATCAACAGAGGTTTCTGTTTTGAGAAGACTAGCCACTACTTTTTGTTCTAATTCCACTCTATACAGTATAGTGAACATTTTATCTGATTAAAAATAATAAGGTATTTTCTAACATTTATAGAGGCGTTCAACTTTAGATTTGATAAATTATGTGAAGTTCAATATCACTTTAAAATATTTGAATACATGAGTTTGAGGAGCTCGGGTTCAGCAACTGAGATAACTGAAAGAGTAGATCTGCAATACTCATTCAAGGGAAAAAGAAAACTGGAGGAGCACAGCAGATTCGTCAAAGGCGTGAGCTTTGGAGACAACTCAGGTTTGAATCGGCTTTCCCATCTAGTGGTAGTTTTGGGGGTGTTGATGAGTCATTTCACCATTAATATCACCAAATGGAGATATTAATACATGAAGTGGTTATAAGAATTAAAAGAGTTGATTATATAATATAGTTAGCTTAGGCTCATAGCTAACACTCAGCAAAATGTTGCTCATTTTTATTGAATAATCTAGAAAATGGTTTAGTTCCAAAGGGGACCGTACAGTTGGTTGCATGTAATGAGACCAAAGGAGAATGGTGGGGGATGGCTCAAATGGGCTCTTTGCAATGAAGTTTAGCATCCAGTGACCATCTTATTGGATTTTCTTAGGGTGATGATTTTATCTGTCAGACAATTGGGGCCTGAATTTTATTTCAAAACGTGCTGCCAGCCTCGCCCAGCGACTCCAAACAGCCAGGGGAGAGAAGCTGTGAGCCGAGCGGCATGAGCTGAAGGCCAGCATAGCTAACTCCACCTAGCTGTACAGCCTTGCTACATTGTTCGGAACCTGGTATGGCCCTGCCTAGAGATCCCCCCACAGCCAGGGAGCTTTGGAGCATTCTCCAATCACGGTTGGACCCGCCCAGCGACTGCAGCAGCTAGGGAACCTCTGTTTGCCGCAAGGTGCGGGCTGAAAGCTTACACGGCATAATCCACCTAGCTGTGCAGGAGCCTAAGTAAATCCCTCCGAACCTGGCAGGCCCCGCCCAGCGTCCTCCACAGCCGAGGAGTTTTGGAATGTTGCTTGGCTCCTGGTTGGGCCCGGCCAAAAGATTCCAAACAGCCCGGGAACCTCTGCATTACAAGCTGCAAGCCGAGCGGCGAGAGCTGAAGGCCTGCACAGCGAACTCCACCTAGCTGTGCTGCCTTTCTACTTCTCTCTGAACCAGGTAGGGCCCCGCCTAGCGCCCCCCATCCTCACCCCCACAGCCAGGGACCTTTGGAACTTTGCTCAGCTTCTGGTTGGGCCCTGCCCAGTAGTTCCAAAATACCCAGAGGGCCTCCCAGTAAGAGTGGCACGAGCTGAAGGCCTGCACAGTGAATTCTACCCAGCTGTATCGCCTTGCTACATCGCTTAGAACCTGGCAGGGCCCGGCTCAGCAACACCAAACAGCCCCGGAGCTTTGGTATGCAGTGTGGAACTTGCTAGGGTCCTGATAGAATTTTCGGGGCAGCTAAAGAGATAGAAATATGAAGTAAAAGTGGCCTTTATTTTAAGAATGCGGAGAGAGACACCCCCCCCCCGCCCCCGCACTGAGGTCTGGCTTTTCTCTCTGCCGGGGCATGTGTTGTGGGGGGGCATACGTGTAGCTTAGGCTTGGGGTGGAGCCTAAGGGGTATTACTGATGCACAACTGGCCCATTGGAATCCATTTTGTGCCATAGGTAAATCGCCTGGGGGTGGGGAAGGTGACCTCAAAATTGAGCCCCTTGATACCGCCTCCCAGCCTCCCGCTGCTGCAGCGTCCCATTTAGGGCAAAATCCTTTCAGGTCTCATCCAGTGACCCCAAGCAGACGGGGAGCTTTCATCCGCCGCGTGGCAAGAGCTGAAGGCCTACCCAGCATACTCCACCTAGCGGTTCAGCCTTGGTACTCTACTCAGAACCTGGTAGGAATCGGCCTAGCAACCTCAACAGCCTGAGAGCTTCGGTGTGCCTCTTGGAGGTTGCTGAAGGTCCGCCCAGTGCACTTCCCCATTCAGGGATCCTCTGAGTGCCGTTAGGGACCAGGTAAGGCCTGTCTAACGACCCCCACTCAACTGGGGAAACTCCCTCCAGTAAGAACAGCCATCCTCAACCCAGGAAACAGCTGAGACTGCATTTGGCTGCCCCAGGGGAATACAGGAAAATGACAAAAAGAAAGAGCAAAAAGCAATGTCAAGTCTCCTGCCCTTCCCAAAAAAGCCTAGAAGACACGGACATAAAAGGAAGTGTAAGCCACACACCTGAAATTTCTGAAACGATAGCAACTGAAATAAAGAAAGAACTCCATGAAGCTCTGAAGGAACTCGCATCAGAAATAATATCCCAGGTAAAAGAAGAAATAACAAACACAATGAGAGAAATGCTGAATACATCTGAAGAATACAAAATTAAAGAAATAGAGAAGCACAATAAAATGTTGGAAACCTTGAATGAACAACATAAGGAAGGATTAGAATGCATGAAACAGATTCAAAAAGATATCCAAGAAATCAAACACATGCTGGCTCCAGAAATGAAACGCCTCTCTTGGTCAGAGATCCTCTGAAGTTATTATATCCCTCAAAAAAAATCCAATTTACTATGAATCATGGAGAATTTTTTTTTCTGCAACTTGTCTTGGTGGAAGACTGTGGGTGAAAAGTAGAAAACAGGTTGAATAATGACTCATTGCTCACTGTACAACAAAATTTAATACAATTCACCATTGCATGTGTCTATTCTTCATCTACCATTTGTCTTAACTTTCTCTCTTTCCCACCTGTTATAGTTTGTTTGGATGCCCCTCCCAAGCCTCATGCAATCATGGACATGGCTGAATCTAGCATTTGTGATTGGTTTGTTGTCTAGCACTGGGATTGGCAATGTGAGTGCTGCATCCACCCAGGGGCAGAGCCAATGACATACAGTGTAAGGGTGGGAAGAAGATGAGTCTTTCCTTTTTTGCTCTGTTTGTGCTTGCTGTTTGCAGTGGCCATGAATGGCTGCCCTGCCATGCCATCCTGCCTTGGAGCCAGCTGAGTATGGACTGAAACCTCCAAGAACTATAAGAAATAAACCTTCCCTTGTTTCACTTTCGACGACATGTATTTTGTCTCAAGAATGAGAAAAAATAGGATAGAATTTGGTACTAGGTGTGGAGTCTTTGCTGCAACTGTACCTGATCATATTGTTAAAGAGCCTTTAAGAATGACTTGTAGGAAGAGTAGGTAAAGGTTGGGAGATGTCACCTGAAACAGTGGCACTGGAACAGATTAGGATGTTCTGTCAGAGATTCTGGAGATTCTGGTCAGAGGTCAAGAGACCAGAAAGGTAATAGAAAGCCTGCTGGTAAAGACCAGGCTCTGGAGGTTTCTGCTGGGAAGGACTACATTGGTTGTTGGACTACACACAATGTGTGTTATGGCTTTGCAGAAAGTTTGTATGCATTTTGCTCATGTCTAGAGACTCCGCCTGAGACTGAGATTAAGGGCAGCAAACTGATTAATCTGGTAAAGGAAAAAAAATATGGTAAAAGACATTTTAAGGCAGTCTAATGTTGAGGCAGTGGCATGGCTAATATTGAGGGCTTTTAGCCAGATTTATGTTGTGAAACGAGCAACAAGCCCAGCAGGATGATTTACAATGTTGTAAATTTGGCCAGAAAGCTATGGACTATAAAGATGGAGTTCAGACCTTGATTGCTAAGGAGAAATAGGAAAATAAAAATGATGGTCTGGGGGCATCCCGGAAAGCAAGAGGTCCCCAGTCTTTGCAGCCTCAAAACTGTAAAAGTGAAAGACTTTGCTCAGAGGAGACAGCCACAGAGTGCTGTGTTCCAGAGTGGTGACACAGGCCACAGGAGGTTCCAAAATGGTGGCAGCCACACCGGATTCCAGAATGGTAGCAGCATAGAGCTGTTCCTCACAATCAGGTTCAGAGAGCTCAGCAATCAAGGCACTCAACTCTTACAGCCAAGAGAGAGGAAAGCTTGGCTACTACTCCAGCTCCAGCAGACCTAGGCAGCACCCACATGGTGCTGGTTTTAGGTGAATGGAGAATACATGAGTTCTGAGGTTAAAGCAGCTTCCACTCCAATTTCAGAAGACCTAGGAGGCCAAGCAGTGTGCCCAAGAGGGCAGTATGTGAATGTGAAGGCAAAGGTGCAATGGAGACCCCAGAAGTTTTGAAAAGCCAGGAACATGAATCAGCCAAGGAAAGCTGTTAAGACTGAGCAGAGAAAGTGGGCTTAAGAGAGAAGCTGTGGGAGATGAAATCCCTGGAAATGCTGAGGAGATGGAGTCACTCAAGCCTTTTGGAGCTTGTAACTAGATTGCTTCAGATGATGAGCATTGAACTCCAGGACTTAATGTCTGCTCTGTTGGATTTTGAACTTGCTTTGGTTTCAATGCTTTCTATCCCTCTGTTTGTAACTTTTGGAATAATAATGCTTATCTTATATGTTGGAAGTGTTTAACTTTACTTTCATTTGTCAGGGGCTTGCAGCTAAGAGTTTGCCTTAGACTTGGGACTTGGACTTTTCATAAATGCTGAAACTGTTAGGACTTTGGCAACTTGGAGATGGACTAAATGTCTTTTGTATAAAGGACGTACATGAGTTTGGGATGCCAGGGGTGGAATGTTATGTTTTATGTTTGGATGCATCCCTCCAAGCCTCATGCAAGCATGGACATAACTGAATCTAGCATTTGTGATTGATTTGTTGCCTAGCCCTGGGGTTGGCAATGTGAGTGCTGCATCCACCTAGGGGCAGAGCCAACATACAGTATAAGGGCGGATAGATGTGTCTTTCCTTTTTTGCTGTTTGTGCTTGCTGTTTGCAGTGGCCATGAATGCTGCCATGCCATGCCATCCTGCCTTGGAGCCAGCTGAGTATGGATTGAAATCTCAAAGAACTATAAAAAATAAACCTTCCCTTGCTTCACTTTGGGCATCAGGTATTTTGTTTCAACAACAAGAGAAAAGTAACTAAGATTCCATACCACTTTCATATACCATATCACCCCATATAGTTCAGCTCTGGCTCTCTGATTACATTCCTCAACCAAACAAGAAGCTGGGAATTAGGCCAGTAGCAACCAGCATGCCTCATTTTAATTTCCTATACTTCCACAGGCTGCTTATCAAGGTATTTATCCAATACAAGTTAATCTCTTCCCTATAAAATTTGTTTATAAGAAAAATTTCCTCACCTATGTTTAAAGTAGGCATTGGGTACTGAATAACTGGTAGTCCTTCTTTACCTGACAGCCACTTGAGGATTTGATAGCAGTTTTTAGGAAAGAAATTCAGGAAAATTGGAAAAAGCAAGGAAGTACGGAGTAAAAACCTTGCATATATTGGAATAAATTTAGCATTATACTCCTTCAGAAATTTTTTATTGCTTGAAATCTTTTTAAAGAGAAAGGGAAAAAGGAGAAAGTAAGGGTCTAATAAAAATAATATAATTTAAGATGAAACTATAACAATGGGCTAGTAGTTTATTCTTAAGATTTTTTTTTTTTTTATCGGTACCAGGGATCCAACTCACGACCGTGTGCTTGCAAGGCAGGTGCTTATGCCACTGAGCTAAATCCCCAGCCCCATATTCTTAAGATTTTTGACAAGTAGCCTTGACAGAGAGGCAATAATACTAACACAATAACATTTATTTGGAATTTTTTTATTTTTATTTTTTTGGTACTAGGGATTGAACTCATGACCTCGAGGTTGCCAGGTAGACCCTTATGCCCCTGAGCTAAGTCTCCACCCTGTTTGGAGTCTTGTTTTGTGTTATGTGTATATTAGGGCTTGAACCTAGGTCCTCATATATCCTAAACATGTCCTTTTGTGTGTGTGTGTGTGTCTTTTTCCTTTTTATAGGTACCGGGGATCGAACTCACAACTGCCTGCTTACAAGGCAGGTGCTTATGTCGCTGAGCTAAAACCCCAGCCCCTAAACATGTACTTTTTAACAGAGCTACAACCCTAGCCTTGAAAAATTTTTTTTTTTTTTAGTTTTTTGAGATCCTGTCTCAAAAAACCAAAGATAATTCAATAAACAAACAAATAAATAAAAAGTGGTTCTACCCTGTTTGAGACTTAAACTTTGGGGATATTCTGCCATGGCTCAAAAGCTCATTAGATTTTTCATTTAAATGTGCCAATTTAAACCAAGAGCCACTCCTATGTATTTTTTTTTTAATTTTTTTTTTAATTGGTATCAGGGATTGAACTCACGACTATGCGCTTGCAAGGCAGGCGCTTATGCTGCTGAGCTAAATCCCCAGCCCACACTCCTTTGTATTCTAATTACTTAAAGTTTTTTTTTTTTTTTTTACTTAAAGGTTTTGAGGGGGGGGACATCATGTTGGTGGTATTTAAATATATGGAGGTAGATTTGTGCTGGTATTGCATACATCTGAAAAAAAAGTGCACTGTCTATCCTGTGGCTGCTGAAAGGGTTAGTTTTTACCTGATATTGACTGAATCACATTTCTAGGTAGAGAGACAGCCCAGGAGCTTCCTCCACCAGCAGACTGTCTGTTCAGGTTCTGCCTGAAACTCCACCTTCTGGACTCGGAACAGAGCCTGGGAGGCAAGGATGCGCAGAGAGGGCTCAGGGTCCTGCAGCAGATCTTTCAAATCTAAGTGGTAAGAAAACTGAGTTGAAGGTAAAAGGCACTGAGATTTCCAGAAATGAGCATTTGTCTAGACACTAAAAGGCCAAAATACCAACTTTTTCTAAGATTTGTATCTAAAGTTTGTTAATGAGTAGATTGATTTCATTTTTGATCTATGAAATCTACCAGCTTTTGAGGGTTTTTTTTTTTTTTTTTTGGGTCTTTTTTTTGTCTTTTTCGTTTTTATCAGTACCAGGGATCAAACTCACGACTGCCTGCTTGCAAGGCAGGTGCTTATGCCGCTGAGCTAAATCCCCAGCCCCCAGCTTTTGAGTTACAAATGTTTTACTCCTTTTTACAATAGTCACATACTAACTGGTTTACCTAAAGTCAAATTATCTGGCACGGTGTGGTGGTGCATGCCTCTAATACCAGCACTGAGGAGGCTAAAGCAGGAGGATTGCTGTAATTCAAGGCCTGCCTGAACTATACAACAAGATCATGTCTCAAAACAAAGAAGTTAAATCATCTGGATCTGTCAACTCATGTCTACTGTTAACTGCTAAATTCTGGTATTTGTGGTACATGTAATTCTTAAATCATTTCCTTTTAATGTTTGTAAAATTTTTAGTTTTTATGTTTTCAAGAAATACATATTCACTGTATAGAAAATTTAGACATCTCAAGGAATTTGAAGAGCAAAAAAAAAAAAAAACAAAGAAAAGAAAATTTAGATATATAAGCAGTAGAAGATAATAAAATAAAAATCATCCATAAACCAGGCATGATTGCACCTTCCTGTAATCCCAGCACTATGGAAGGTTGAGGCAGAAGGATTGCAAGTTTGAGTCCAGCCTAGGCAACCTGGTGACTAAGGATGTAGCTCAGTGAAAGGCCCTGGGTTCAGTTCCTAGTATTGCCAGGAAAAAAGACCGATAATTTACCACCCAGTTATTTTGACCATCTATTTTTTATACATTTCCTGTTTTTTTTTTATACATTTATGTATATGTGTACGCTTTTGCATTTTTTAATTTTCAAACTCAATAATTGGTTGCTCCCTTAATAATACAACTGAATTACTGTTTTTTTTTTTTTGTTTTTTTCCTTTTTATTGGTACCGGGGATTGAACTCACGACTGCCTGCTTGCAAGGCAGGCACTTAATGCCGCTGAGCTAAACCCCCCAGCCCCCACAACTGAATTACTTACTTTCTAGTTTATCTGAATCACTTTAAAATTCTTCTATTTTCATGGCCATATATGATTCTACAATATAGATATACTATAATTTAACTAATTTCCTGTTTTATAGTCTAAAATATTGCCCATTTTCACTACTTAAGTATACTGAAATGAACATTCCTGAAATTATTTGTTTATTTTCATAAGTTAAATTTCTAGAAAGAGGATTCATGAGTCAAAGTATGACTTTTTTTGGTCAGTGCTTTGCATAGAACCTAGGTCCTTTATATTGATCCTATATATATATCCCTAACCGGCTGGCTCTGTCTTCTCTGTCTCTCTCTCTTTTTCTTTCTTTCTTTCTCTCATTGTAGACAATGTCTTAAGTTGCTCAGACTAGGCTCATACTTGTGATCCTCTAGCCTCAGCCACCCAGCAAATATAGTTTATATTTTTGTTTATTTGTTTTGAGACAGGGTCTCGTTCTGTAGTTCAGGCTGGCCTTGAACTCAAGATGATCCTCCCGCTTCAATATTCCAAGTGCTGGGATTATAGGCTACACCACACCTGGCTTTTTTTTTGTCTTTTTCGTTTTTATCGGTACCAGGGATCGAACTCACAACTGCCTGCTTGCAAGGCAGGCGCTTATGCTGCTGAGCTAAATCCCCAGCCCCTGCCTGGCATTTTTTTTTTAAAGTATAGCTTATTTTAATACATACTGCCAAACTTCTCTATTAAAAGGTTGTATTTTAGTTGGGCATAGTGGGCACACAGCTGTAACTACAGTTACTTGGGAGGGTAAGGCAGGATATCCAGTTTGAGGCTAGCGTGGGAAACTAAATGAGACTATGTCTCCAAAATAAAAAAGGCTAGAGATGTAGCTCAGTTGTAGAGTACTTGCCTAGAATATGTGAGGTCCTGGGTTTAATCCCCAGCATGGCAAAAAAAAAAAAAAAAAGAGTACTATTTATATTCATACAAGTATATATGTGATTATATCAATTTTGTCTTACCATATCAATTTTGATTAATTTGACAGAAAAACACATACTGGCTTTTTTTTGTTTTATTTTGCAAACTTCTAATTGCTAGTAAGACCAATTTTTTTCATCTGTTTATTAGCCATTTGTAATTCCTTTATGAAATGCTTATTCATATTATTTTTCACTTTTGTGAATTTATTGGTTTAATTTAGGGACATTCACCCTTAATCATATTGAAAGTATTTTTCTTTATTGTTTGCTTTTCAGTTATGTCTTTTTTTTTTTTTTTTTTTTTTTTTTTGGCCTATTTCTTTTTTGGTACCAGGGATTGAACTCAAAACTTCACATTTGCCAAGCAGGCACTTGTGCCGCTGAGCTAAACCCTTGACCCTGGCCTTTTTCTTTTGAAAGTTGATTTAAAATTGTTTAGGGAGACAATTATAGTATTGTCTTATTTTGTGAAGCTGTCTTTGATATACTTAGGGTTTTCTGTCTCTGTCTGTCTGTCTCTATCTCTCTCTCTGCTGCGTCTCTCTAATTCGTGCTGAAAATCAGACCAGGATGCTCTGTCATCAAGCTACATCTCCAGTAGTTTTTATTTTGAAATTGTCCAGTAAAGACTTGAACTTGCAAACTTTCTGCCTCAGCCTCCCTCAGTGCTGGGACTACAGGTACATACCACTGTGCCCTGGTAAGCTCCTCTGTCTGTCTGTGCTCTTTAGTGCTGGGATTAGAGGTGTACACCCCCATATCCAGCTCATTCCTTGAGTAGCATTTTAGCCTTTATATTTATCAAATTTATTTTTAAAATGAAATATTTCACTAGCTTTTAGATACTTACAGTATTTTTGGTATTTAACTTTATTCGTTGTTGTTGTTGTTATAGGGGATTGAACTCATGAACTCACACTTACCAGGCACTTGCTTGAGCCAAGCTAAATCTTTGGCCCTATTGTTTGTTTTTGTTTTTGTTGTTGGAATTTTAAAGAAAAAAAATTTCAAAACAAGATAAGAGGGGAACAATGTTTAATACATTGTGTATTATTATCTTTTTTTTTTTTTTTTTTTTTACATTTTTTTTTCTCGGTACCGGGGATTGAACTCACAACCACCTGCTTGCAAGGCAGGTGCTTATGCCACTGAACTAAATCCCCAGCCCCAATGTATTGTTATCTTTTAACTTACTCATAGTACAAGACATCTGCATTTAAATGTCCAAACAATGTTAGCACAAATCTTTCTTTTCAATGAACTAAGAGAAGTTAGTAGGATATCTTAACTAACGTTTATATACATATATATACACACACATATATTATTTCTTTCAGTTTTTCACAGTAGGGAGACAATATGTTTATGTTTATATGTTTATACATGCAAGTTTGATTTATTTCACTTCTCAATATGGTGTCTAGTTGCAAACATTTACCTATAAATGTCTCCAGTGTATCTTTCTCTATGGCTGAGTTAGTATACTCCATTGTATAAAAAGACCACATTTTTTAAACCCATTTTTCAGTTAATGGGCATTTAGATTGCTTCTACAAGTTAGCTATTATAAATTGTGCTCTATAAACATGGGTGCACATACATTGCTTTGGTATGTTTTTAGTTCTTCTGGGAAGATACTCAGAAGGGGAATAGCTGGTTGAATGGGACCTCTAATCCTAGTTTTTTGAGGAATCTCCATACTGAGGTCCACAGTGGTTGCACCAGTTTACATCCCCTCCATCAGTGAAGAAGGGTTCCTTTTTCCCTACAGCCCCACCAGCATTTGTTATTGGTTGATTTCTTGATAATAGCGGTTGTTTCCAGGTAAGGTGAAATCTCAGTGTGGTTTTAATTTACATCTCTTGAATAACCAGTGATGTTGAACATTTTATAATGTCTTTATTTACTGTTTGTATTTCTTTATCTGAGAAGTATATATTTGCCAGGCCCGGTGGCTCACGCCTGTAATCCCAGCACTCGGGAGGCTGAGGTGGGAGGATCGTTGGGACTTCGAGATCAGCCTGGGCTACAGAGTGAGCTCAAGGCCAGCCTGAACTACAGTGAGACCCGGTCTCAAAAAAGACAAAAAAAAAGTGTATATTCATCTCAGAAGCCCACTTTTGAATTGGGTCTCAAATTTGGGAGGCCTCCACAAAAAAAAAAAAAAAAAAAAAAAACTTTCTAGGGCTGGAGATTTAGCTCAGCGGCATAAGCGCCTGCCTTGCAAGCAGGCAGTCATGAGTTTGATCCCCGGTACCGATAAAAAGGAAATAGTAAAAAAAAAAAAAAAAAAATTGGGAGGAGGTCTGATTTTTTTTGAGTTCTTTATATGTTCTTGATAGTAATCCTTTGTCTGAAATATAGCTGGCAAACGTTTTTTCCCCACGTTGTGCGTTGTCTCTTCTCTGTTGGTAGTTTCTCTTGTTGTGCAAAAGCTTTTTAAAAAGACAAGATTCCTAAGGGCTGGGGATTTAACTCAGCAGCATAAGCGCCTGCCTTGCAAGTGTGTGGTCGTGAGTTCGATCCCTGGTACCGATTTAAAAAAAAAAAAAAAAAAAAGATAAGATCTCAGTTTTTGATTCTTTGTGATAGTTACCGTGCAATCAGGGTTTTGTTCCTAAAGTCTTTGCCTACACCAATGTCTTCAAAAGTGTAACCTACTCTATCTTCCAGCAAATGTAATGTTTCTGTGTTAGGTTCTTACAGTTTTTGCATTGAGCTCTGTCTTCACATTCCAAAGAACATATGAAGAAGCAGACATCAAATTTTTTTTTTTTTTTGTCTTTTTCTTTTTTTATCGGTACTGGGGATGGAACTCACAACTGCCTGCTTGCAAGGCAGGCGCTTATGCGGCTGAGCTAAATCCCTCGCCCCCAGACATCAATTTTTGAATCCAAAGAAATTTAAATTTATTTTGTTATGCAATTAATTTTGGAAGGTCCTTTTTCTTTTTCTTTCTTTCTTTCTTCTTCTTCTTTTTTTTTTTTTTTTTGTTGACATGAGGTATTGTTAGTTTAAGCTGGTTTTGAACTCCTCAACTTCCTGCCTTAGCCTCCTGAATGGCAGAACTATAGACATGTGTCATGATGTCACAGATTCTCTATTTCTAAAGTAGGTTAACCACTACCAAAGAAAAGAAGAGTTTGGGATTATTCCATTAGGTGAGACCACAAGAGATTACTGACATTTATCCTAGATTATCCCATTGCATATGCATATATATGGCTTTACATATACACCTTAAAGCTTCTAGACAGTCAACTCTGGAAAAGGAACTTTTATTCCAAATGTTTTAGATTAGAAATAATTTCTTTTTAATCAAGGTTATCAGTCATTAGAATTCTCTTCAATAGAACAATTTGCATGGCTTTTTCCTTTTTTTTTTTTAATTTAAATTTCGTTTTGGTTTTGTTTTGTTTCTGATATCCACGAAAAAATGGGAAACCTTAGAAAAAAAGTGATATCCTCTTTCTTTCTTTTTTGACATCCTCTTTCTTAAATATTAGCCCCCACCGTTTTGCTAGTTGTAATAGCCTTTTGTTTTTTACTATTGAGGATTGAATTCAGCACCTTCATGCTGAGCTATACTCCAGTCCTTTTTATTTATTTATTTTGAGACAGATCTTGCTGGGCTTCTACATGAGATCTTCCTGCCTCAGCCTCCTAGAATTCTGGGTTTACAGGGATATATACAACCCCATTTCATGTCATTTTCTAGTTACAGAACTACTTTTTAAATGGAAATAAATAATTCTTGAAAGCTAAATCTCCAGGACTGTACAATTATAGAAAATTTTTACTTACTAGTAATTCTGAAAAACATTTACATAATTGGGGCTGGGGATTTAGCTCAGTGGCATAAGCACCTGCTTTGCAAGCAGGTGGTTGTAAGTTCGATCCCCGGTACCGATAAAAATGAAAAAGACAAAAAAAAAAAAAAACCAAACATTTACATAATGGTTGCCTTATATGATTATAAAACATCTCTATTACCAAATCCTGTATCTTTCAGGAGAACTCCTAAAGAAAATAGTGGGTTGTGGCCATCACTGTGGTACTTTTGAAATATTATCACAGTTTACTCCAAAGCATGCTGGTCCATGCCTATAATCTCAGCACTCTGGGAGATTGAGGCAAGAGGATCCTGAGTTCAAGCCCTGTATAGCAATTCAGTGATTTAAGGAGAGAGTAGGGCTGGGAATTTAGCTCAGTGGCATAAGTGCCTGCCTGGCAAGCACAAGGTCATAAATTCAATCCCTAGTACAAAAAAAAAAAAATGAGTTCAATCCCTGATAACAAAAGAGCGAGAGAGAGAGAGAGAGAGAGAGAGAGAGAGACCCTGTCTCAAAAAATAAAAAAAAGCTAGAGATGCAGCAAGGTTCAATAAATGTTTTATTTCCTAACAGAAAAGTTTAGCAACTGTTCCCAAGACATGTATTTTATTTTATTATTTTTGAGACAAGGTCTCTATGTAGTTCTGGCTGGCCTTGAATTCATTAATGTAGCCCACACTGCCTCAAACTCACAGCGATCCTTCTGCCTCAGCCTCCTGAGTGCTGGGATTGTAAGTGTGTATCACCACGCCCAGCTGACATTCATTTTAAAGCTGATTTCAGAAAAATACCGTAATGTCTTTTCCTCAGTGGGGCACTGAAGTGGGATGAGACTATCATTTAGCTGAAGTCACCAGTGGTTTCATTGCTGCGTAAGTCTGGATTTCTGGCAACAGAGTTTCAGTTTTGCTATAGAGCCTGCCTACAGTCACTGCCTCAGATACCTTCCAAAATGTGGAAACATCACAAATCCAAGGAGTACTGTCACTTACCATCCTGTATCCAGTCAGTCCCTTTCATCCTGGTCTCACTGCAATCCATGTACTTTGATAAGAGCCCTAAATACAGGATGAAGTTAGTGAGTATGCGACTTGCTTTTCTTGGAAATTACGACCTGTTTTTAATCTTTAGAAAATCCAAACGGGCTGGGGATTTAGCTTAGCGGCATAAGCGCCTGCCTTGCAAGCAGGCAGTCGTGAGTTCGATCCCTGGTACCGATAAAAAAAAGAAAAAGGCCAAAAAAGAAAAAAAAAAAAAAGAAAAAGAAAATCCAAACAGCTGATAAAATCTGCCCTTTGAAAATTAGGCAGATTCCAAAAATGACTTCTTAGTGCATGATAGTCACGTATACATAACATTATCCATTTGTCCTAGAAGTGTTTTCAAGGTCATCTTCATAAAGGACAGGGTTACTCAAGAACAGGATTTGGGAAAGTACAGGGTAAAAGTGTAGAGATAAAAGGATTTTCTTTGTACCTACAAATAAGACTGCTGTTCTTCTGATGGGAAGTTTTGCATTCTTGGAGTACATCAATGTTTGGGCAAGGATGTCAATTTTACCCTTGCATTTTTTTCCCTAAGTGGGTAAAAAATAAAGAGTACAAAGCAGTGAAGTAACGGCACTCTCCTAATCAGCCTAACTATAGTTTCCAGGGTGAGGGAGTACACCCAGATACCGAGTATAGTAGTGCTTGAAATAATTACATTGAATCTCATCAATGAATATTATGTTACAGCCAAAGTGCAAATATAAATCCTTTGAATACCCTTTGCCCATACCTGTTCATGCTGTATATCATATTTGTGACCCCTTAAAGTTATCCTAACTTCTGGAAATTGAACCTGGGGCCTTTGCACTAAGCTACATCCCCAGTCCTTTTTTATTTTTTCTTTTGAGATAGGATCTTGATGAATTGCCCAGGCCTGGCTCAAATATGAGATTTTTCTGCCTCAGCCTCCCCGAGTGCAATGATTACAATCATGCGTGGCTCTCAGCTATACCTTGAGCTCTTTCCTATGAGCTCTTCCCTGACTACTCACTTGCCTAACCAAAACTTACGAAGTTTTTAAAGGTGTTTCTCTCTTCATATATCTTATTTTCCACTTCCTATTTAACTTCCCAGAGGCTACATCTTCCTTACTAGCTTGCAAGATCCTAACTAGAAGTTTAAAATTTTGGGTTCTTCATACATGTTGTACATTGGATGTGTTATGATTATTGGGTGAATCCAGGCACCTCTCAATGGATGTCTTATAAGTTCACCCACCTCCTACTAGGGTAGGGAGAACAGAAATCTGTTCTCATAGCACTGATGGTTTAACATGGAAATTTCTAGCCTCATTCACTGAGAACACTAAATTTCCTACTAAATGCTATCGCTGATGCATTAGTGTTTCAGCTATGGTTTGGCTGCAGGTCAGAGAGAGAATCGTTGGTGGAAAGCCTGATACAAGGAATCTGGGGGGCTGGAAATCTGGTCAGATACCACCATTCTGTGTCCCATACAGGGTAGACATATGGAATATTCCTGGAAATAGTTCCAGGGACTTCATAATAGGATCCAGGTGATTTTTATGGTCACTTTCTAAACAACCAGCCCTCCTGGGGCTGCATGGCCATACAACATAGTCGCCCTTGCTTGGGGCTCATGAGACACCCTGTCATGGAGAATAAGGTGATTTTCTATATCAAGGAGAGCACTGGAGATAGTTGTAAAGGGAATGCATGACTCTGTTTCACCTCACCAGGAAGCTTTTGATGAAGTTCTATCAGTCTGGCCTTATAGCTCCTGGCCTATGTGAGTGGGCGCCCAAGAGCTCACAAGTCTTTTTTTGAAGAAGGGTGGTAATAAAAGGTGAATCTGTGACTTGTTTGGGAAGAAACTACGGTAAAGTAGATCCATTGGTTCAAAAAAAAAAAGACTCGATACAAAATGCTGGTGTGCAAGGGGATGGAATATGTTTCCTGTGGCCCATGTTTCTCAATTAAGAACCACATCAGAAAAAAGTAAATACTGAATTTAAACTGTTGAAGAGTTAAAAGAGCTGTTATTTCTCACATACAAAGAATTTGCAGATTGTTTTAACTTCAACAGGTTTAATGTAGAAGGGATCTTTGTGGTAGACTTCTTGGGGCAGCTTCCACTTCAGGAACTGAGAACATATTTTTAGGACTCGCCTACTCTCCTGTGGAAAAGATGATCATCCATCAGCATTTTTGAAATTTTTTGGCTGAGCTTACCTTTCCTCAATAAAACTGATGTCAAATTTAATGTGAACAACCAATAAAGTCAAAATTACCCTGGTCGAGGGCGGAACGGTGCCACAACAGCACCTTCCTCCTGTCCTGGAAGGGATACAAAGCACTACAGAGTTCAAGGGAGGATGTCAGAAATACTGGCTCCAGAAACCAGTGATTGCTGTTGCATGTGGTACCCATGTCAGAGACTCAGGTAAGGATTCCCATGCCCCTGTGCTCTGGAGAAAGGCCTTTCACCCCTCCATGCTGCTCCCAATTCTGTACAAGTGCAGCTCCAGACTTTGTGCTGTCCTTGGGCATGTCTAGGTTGGAAGGAACTCTACAGTGTTAATTGGTTCCTTGCCCAGACACTTAGGAACACTGAGCAAGTGGCCTCTTCTCTAGTGCTACAGATGGACCAGAATGCCACTGATGGACCATTTAACCCCTCTGACGCATCTCCAAGCAAGTATTTCATCTCATAGCTATTAGGTATTTGAGTCATAAAAGGTCCTTTATTTCTTAGAATACAAGTGAATATAGGCATTTATTATGTTTTCTGTGACAATGACTTCTAACCTGATTTATGTTAGACTTCACTTCTCTACATAGACTATACTCTGAGGACCCCTGAAAAAGTGGCTTATTCAAGGCTGGAAGGGAAATAAGCCCAGAGCCTTGCTTGATTGCTAAAAGTCTGACAGGGTAGGGTGGAACATTGATGCCTCCACATATCTATAAACCCCACAAGGCATACTTCCCCATCACCTGGGCTGGAAATCATGCTCTATATTTTACTAGGGACTGAAATGTATCATGTTTACATCTATAACTCTGTATACAATTTTCCCCACAAGAAGGTGCCAAGGCTTACCACCATCCCATTTCTGAACTTGCAACCTTGACTTTCATTTCTACAACAGGTACATGTGGAAATGAGAGCTCCAACATCTTTCCAGAATCCTTGTAATCTAACCCACTCCCACCCTACTCCATCCTGTGATACCACACTGGTAGACCAGAAGTAGCAGTGCTCCGGATTGGACAGGCTTCTGAGGTGTGACAGAATTAAAGATGATGACCTTTCAACCTCCTACCCAACACATTGTTAGAACTAAGATGGCTTAAATAGAAAACTAAATTCTTATGGCAAAACTCTTGGAAGATTTAGAGGAAGTAAAAACTCCAAAGTGTCAGAGAGCTAATCTCTGACTTAACTCTAATTCAAGTTATTTTATCTTGGCAAATGAGGCAGTTCTTGAAGTAGTGTTTTTTTTTTTGGTAGCAGGGATCGAACTCATGACTGCGTGCTTGCAAAGGCAGCACTTACGCAGCTGAGCTAACCCCCCGGCCCCCAGTTCTTAAAAGTGAAAGAAAATATTTTCATTGTTATCAACAAAGAGTTTGCTTCCAAGTGTGGTAAAACATGCTCATCATTCCAGCTCCTGTGAAGCTGGAGCAGGAGGACTGAAATTTTGATACCAGCCTGGGAAAATTAATGAAACCCTAACACTGATGATGATTACAACAATAATGATAATGATAATAACAACTTTAAAATTAGGGCTAGACATGTAGCTCATACTCGGATTCAATCCCTAGTACCAAAACAAAATGCAAAAGACAAAAAAACAAAAGTTTGTTGAGTTAGGTACTAGAGCTCTGTGCTAGGCTGAATATTGGGGTGTGGCTACTGTGAGGCCTAATATATTGTTCTTTTTTTTGTCTTTTTGCTTTTTTTATCGGTACCAGGGATCAAACTCACGACTGCCTGCTTGCAAGGCAGGCGCTTATGCCGCTGAGCTAAATCCCCAACCCCCTAATATATTGTTCTTACAGAGTGCCATTCTTTGCTACATGGATATTAGGAGTAAGATTATTTTCACAGGATTCATTTAGGCAAAAATAATTGAAACATAGCTCTGGCCTGGAGGAAACGGAGAACAAAGGTTGTTCACAAAGATACAAACACTTATTTGCAGAGTTGGCTGTGGATTTATTCATGGCTGAAAGAAATGGGCATTACCTCAGCTATTGCAGCATTTTCATCCTGGGAATACAGAAGCAGTGGGACCAAGCTTTCCAGGACTTGATTCTCCATACACTTCTTATGTGCGTGTTTCACAGACTTAATGGAGGCTCCAAAAAGAGTCATGGAGAAATGGTGAACATCAGGTCTCATCTATGAAGAAAGTGTTCACAGGGAAGCAACTCACTGAATACATTCACATTTATAAGTAGGGTACATGGCTTGAAATGTCAGCAAATTTTTTTTGAGACAAGGTTTCACTATATAGTTCAGGCTGGCCCTGAACTCACTATGTAGTCCAGATTGGCCTCAAACTCATGGTGATCCTCCTGCCTCAGCCTCCCAAGTGCTGGGATTACTGGTGTGTGCCACCATGTCTGGCTGAAATGTCAGTCTTAAAATAAGGCCATTTAGGGGCTGGGGATTTAATTCAGTGGCATAAGCACCTGTCTTGCAAGCAGGCAGTTACGAGTTCAATCCCTGGTACTGATAAAAAGGGAAAAGACAAAAAAAAAAAAAAAAAAAAAAAGCCATTTATCTAAATATAGTTAAGAGTAAGAAACTAAATGGAGATGGTAAGATTTGCTGTTTTTTACTTTTGTTCTCTCTATAAGTGAGAGGTGGGCACAATACCACTGTTATTGTCAAAGCTTGTGCCTGATACTGGTATAAGACATTCCCATAAGATGTTTTACTGAAATTTAAAATCCCTCCCTGCTTTGCTAGTCTTTGTGCTCTATGTATTTGTTTTTGGAAAAGTTTTGGGATTTGAGGCAAGAACACAAGTACAGTCTATCATCTTGACCCAGTTCTGATTGTCTAAGAAAAATATAACAAATATCCATCCCACAAAATGATACCCTTGCCAAGTTTCTATGTCTCCTGTTTAATAGTAACACCAACATCACAGGTTACTTATGAGGATCTTGACAGAGTTATGAAAGTTCTCTGAGATATGAAAGCAAAATGTTCTACATAAAACAGGATATACTTATTTATCATCCAAACTTCTACACGCTATTAAGCCATTTACCCTTCCCTAGGGAAATCTCTTCCCTCTTGTTGACTTACATCACCAAATAAAGAGAACAGGATTTTCATCATGGCAGCCAGCGTTGTGAAATCCATTGTCCTGACAAGCTTCTGGAGTATCTGGATGGCCAACAAAACAATCCTCTCGTCAGTTTCCCATAAGCTGTCCAAGATGGATGGCAATAATCTCTTGATGTCTTCCCTCTGTGTGTCCAAAGGAAGGTACATCACCACCTCTTCTGGTACAACATTTGATACCAAAGAGAGGGCTCCCACCTTTACTCAGCACCTAGTGCTTGCTGGATTTCTAGTTACACTGGGTAATCCATGGCAGGGAAGAAGTATAGAAGGCATGATTGCCCTCTCCCATGCTAGCAAGCCTGCTATGTAGAGGAGAAGGCACAGAGATGAGTTGGTTCACAGGGCAGAAGTAGGACCAGGTTGAGGAGGTCCAGGGATATGGCCTTAGCCTAACTGTTAGGAAATGGTTCCATAATACTGAGAGAAAGTGAAAACGGCCGACTCAGATCACAGCGAGTTGTCCATTATGAAAGGTATGCAACAGAGATTTTAAACTTCCTTAGCAGGAATTCAGCAGAATTCAGTTGAGGACTATTAAGATTTCTTCTCATTCAAAAGAGAAATTCTGCTCTTTTGAAACTCCTAAAAGGAAACAGTGTCAGAGTTTTCTTCTTTCTTTTCTTTTTTTTTTTTTTGTACCAGGGATTGACCTCACAACCTCATGTCAGGTAGGTGCTTATGTCGCTGAGCTAAATCCCTGGCCCTGAATCTCAAGAGTTTTAAAACGTATGTGTGTGTAGAATAGAGCAACAAATATTCATGCAAGCAACCAGAATTAACATATTAACATTTATCATTTTTGCTTTAGATATATGCATACATTTTTAAATAACAGAAACAGAACCCAGGCCAGGTGTGGTAGCGTAGAACTCAGGAGGCTAAGGTTACATAGTCAGCTGAAGGCCAGCCTGAACTATGTATCAAGACTCTTGTCTCAAAAAGCCATAAACAAGCAAAGAAAAACAGAACTCAAGTGACAAAACTGAAGTCATGGGAATTACCTGTCTTTTCTGACTAAGGAGCTCTCCTACCTTGAATGCTGGTGATCTTCAATCCTAAGCATCTTGGAGCAGATCAGTGCTACCCAGGTTACCCCCATGGGGTAGCATGGTACAAGGCATGGAGGGACATCTACATGTTGCCAGGCTGTGATGATAATGCATATGTCTCCTACACAAATAGCAGGCTTCAAATATTATGAGTATATGTGCCTTGGACTTTTTTAAAAAATTGTTTAATTTTTTTTTTTTTTTTGTCTATTCCCTTTTTATCAGTACTGGGGATCGAACTCACAACTGCCTCCTTGCAAGGCAGGTGCTTATGCTGCTGAGCTAAATCCCCAGCTCAATTGTTTAATTTTTGATAATTAGTATTTGCGTATTTCCTAATTAAAATTCAAAAAGTATGCCAAGTGTGGTGCCTGTAATTACAACACTCTAGGAAGCTCAGGTAGGAAGACCACAAGCTTAAGGCTACCCTGGGAAGCTTAGTGACTTAAGAAGACCTGGTTTCAAAATTTAAATTTTTAGGGGCTGGGGGTTTAGCTCAGCGGCATAAGCACCTGCCTTGCAAGCAGGCGGTCGTGAGTTCGATCCCCAGTACCGATAAAAATGAAAAAGACAAAAAAAAAAAAATTTAAATTTTTAGGGGCTGGGGATTTAGCTCAGTGGCATAAGCACCTGCCTTGCAAGCAGGCGATCATGAGTTCAATCCCCGGTACCGATTAAAAAAAAAAAAAAAAAGTTTAAAAAATTTAAATTTTTAAAAATGGGCTAGGAATGCAGCTTGGTGTGAAGGAGCTGTGTTCACTCTCTGGTACCCCCTCTGCCAAATTCAATGGTATAAACGGATATGCAGTTAACAAGACCTTCTTTGTCCCGCCTTACTCCTGTCACCAGGCTACCCAATTTCCCTCCAAGTTGTTTTCAGTTTCATGGGTATCCTTTTGGGGTACTGTCTTTTTTGTGATTATTATCTGTTGACAATGAAGAGTTATAACCCTGAACAGAATTTCCCTACCAAAAAAAAAAAGAACTCCTCTAGTAAAACAATCCTGCCCAGCATATGCTAACCAGACACAAGATAATGCACTAACACCAACCCAAAACAGCAGGAGATAAATCTTTCTTCCAGTGAGAAGTAGCCTTCTATAATAGCAAAGTAAATGAACTTGGCAGTTTATACCTTTGATGTACAACTTTAGATACAATGTAGATGTTTCTGGAAGATTAACAAGGAATACCAACCCTTGGAAAATGCACTTTTGAGAGAGCTACATTTGCTAATTCAATCCCTTTTCCATATCTTTAATCCCTTATAAAAGCCCCAATTTCTTATCCTGACAATGCAATTCTTGTCTTGAAAATTGCCCACTGTCCTCGATGACAGTATGCTTTGATCTAAATAAGTTTGTCTTATTCTGATCTTGGTAAATTTTTCACCACCATGTCACTGGCCCTCTGTAATGTGATCTGGTGTGACACTTGTGTTTTTTAGAATCAGTGGTCAGGAGCATCTTACCATATCCCAGTGTCTGAAAAGATTGTGCAGCCCCCTCAGGGCAAGAATCCTAAAGAGATTATTTCCATGATGCAGCCAGTCTCTCAAGTGGCCTAAGGAGTATATGCTGGGCAGTCTCCTGGCCACTGGACTCCGAAGGAGCTGAAAGAACCCAGAAAATAACAAAAGAAATGATCTCTAAGCTATTTGTTTAAGAGGAGCTTCCTTCCCACCAACTGTAAAACAGGTATTTTCCTTTGAAATCTCTATGGTATTGTATACACTACAGGGTGACCCTTAAACACTGAAAAGTTAATAGGTAGAAAAGAGAAATTTAATATTCTTGAATTTGGCCAGGGATTTAGTCTGGTAACATAAGCACTTGCCTGGCAAGCACAAGGCCATGAGTTTGATCTCTAGTACCAAATGTAAGTAAATAAATAAATTCTTGAATTAAAAACTTTCTCTCTAGGGGCTGGAGATTTAGCTCAGCGGCATAAGCGCCTGCCTTGCAAGCAGGCAGTCGTGAGTTCGATCCCCGGTACTGAAAAAAAGGAAAAAGACCAAAACAAAACAAAACTTTCTCTCACTTGCCTGAGTTAGATATGACCTAGGAAGGCAGGTGCTATCCTCCTGCATCCAGCATCCATATAAAGAACCTTACCTCCACAAAAAAGCCTGCAGATGTGAGCTTGTGTTTATCATTCCCTCGGTTGAGAAGTGGGACTAACAAATACAAGATCCTGCAAGTAAGCAGGTGATTTTTTTCTAGCAATGCACTGAAAAGCAGAACAAAAGAATGACTCTCAGACATGCTGACACTCAGGGGGCATTTTCTCAGGGTGGGGGCCCCTGAAGTTTTTGTCCAGCTTCCAGTGTACAGGAGGATATAGGAGAGCCAGGACGTCTGGACTGTTCTGGCAGTGTGTATACTGCCCACCATCTTATGAGAAAGTGACCCAACCTTAGTTATGACAATCAAAATGGGAAAAAGACATCTAGTACAATACTGATGTAGGGCAAGTTGGTGTGTACCTACTTGGCAAGGAGACATACTCCCTGAAGATGGCAGTCTTCTCCTTCCAGCAGAGTCCATCCTTTATTCTTTTCCATTATGTCAAATTCTCGCTTGCATGCCGCTCTGAGAAGCAGAGTCTTTGTGGCCTGCATGGCAAAACTAAGTCAAACAAAAACAGCTTAGTGACTAGAAGAGGTCTTGCTAACTTGTAAACACACAGTCACTCTGGTCTTGCTGGGAAGGGCCATGCATTGGCAGCTGCTGACTGTGACTCTCCCTTCCCTAGAGTTCCAAAGACTCTTAGTGCTCTAACAACTTGAAAAGGGCTTCACAGAAATTCTCCGCATAAAGAAGTCTAACTAGATTTTATTTTCCTCGGAGTTTGGAAGGATAAACAAATGATCTGAGATGCTAAACAGATTCTCAATGCTGTTTTTGCATGTGTGTGTGTGTGGGGGGGTGGTTGGGCATTGAACCAAAAGCATTCCTCCATTTATTAAAGCAGAAATGAAGATTGGTAAAGTTTTGGAGATGAGTTTAAGCCATTTTGTTTCTCTCTCTCTACTTGATTAGTCAGGAAGGGTTGACAATGATATCACACATTATCTCATAGGGCATCTGAACTCACATAGCCAAATACTAAAGACTACCAATGAAAGCCTGGAACGACTCCTGGCATTTTATCTTGATGTCTCATGAGGGCTATGGACTGTCTGTCCCCTCACAGTTGGTACCATTCTCGGCTATCACCACAGTGCCCAGTGCTTCATAAATGTTAAGGTCCTGAAATCACAATGAGTAGTACCACAAAGGTGTGACCTCTGTTGACATTTTCTGCTCTGTATACAGGCCACTTGGGATGGCGACGTCAGACACGGTTAGGCCAATGCTGTGGTGAATCTGGATGAGCAGTGTCATGAGAAGCTGAGGAAAGAGTCGGAATGTAGCTGCTCGCAGCCTGTTTCCCATAAACACCTCATAAAGGGCATCTGTTGCCTGCAGCAGAAAAGGCACAGAGCAGAGCTGAGTGCCTGTAGCCTTAATTCTCCACTCTACTACTTTTCTAATTCTTTTGCATAGCTTCTGTTAATGCCAGAACATGTTTTCTAATTCTGCTATCCCCAAGGCAGAACAGTGCCTATCATATCACAGGGACAAGGAAGTGAAGGGGAAAGGGAATAGGAGTAAAGTGGTCATTACAGTCACCAAGTAAGAGTCTTGGGAAATGTGTCAGTGGTAGAGCACTGCTAGTTTCAATCCCTAGTATCCTCCTCCCCCCAAAAAGTTACCAAAAGGAGACTTGAAATCTAGAACTCATAAAACCTTTTTTTTTTTTTTAATTTTTGAGACAGGGTCTTGCAATATAGTTCAGGGTGGCCTTGAACTATGTAGCCCAGCAGGCTGGCCTCAAACTCACAGGATCTTCCTGCCTCAGCCTCCAGAGTGCTAGGATTACAGGCATGTGCCACCATACCTGAATCAATAAAGAAGACTATTAACACGCTGGATCGAATACAAGTGGAAAACCAGAGCAAGATTTATCATAAAGTTAAGATGACAAACAATCCACAAAATGTTTGCAACAATGTATTCTTTTTATTCTTATTGATTTTTTTTTTTTTTTGGTGTCTTTTTGAGACAGAGTCTCACTAGGCAGATCAGGCAGGCTTTGAACTTACTTTGTAGCCCAGGCTGGTCTTGAACTTGCAATGATCCTCCTGCCTCAGCCTCCAGAGTGTTGGGATTACTGGCTTGTGCTACCACATGGGGCTTTAACAATGTAAAATGCTTTTAAATCTCGGGGAATAAAACATAAGGGTTTGCTCAGAGTATAAGTCACACAGAACAGCACTATCTGAGAGCCAGTGGCTAGAGTCTCAACACCATCTGCCCCCACTTGGCCCGCATCCTCTGTATCAGAGTCTGCACATTAGTAAGATCCCCAGGTGACCATGGTTTGTGTGCATATTAAATCTGAGAAGCATTATTGTATAGGCCATGAGCAGATGAGTCACAAATGAAATATAAATAACTAATTGAAAACACGTAAACTGTCAACATAACCAAAAACAAAATTATAATTAAAACTTACGGTTTTCACCTAACTGCAAGGCAATAATGAAGACAGTGCTGTGAGGGTGAGGAGAAATAGGTGTCCTCAGACATGAGGGAACAAGGGCAACATTTTAGGAACATGTGTCAAAGCTTTAAATACATCTGCTGTCTGACCCAGAATTTCCCCTCTAGCAGACTTTATCTCAAGGAAATATTGAGTATGTATGACAACATTTATGCATGCACAATTAAGGTTGCTGCAGCAGTTTTAATGGAAAAGTTTGAAAGTTATTAAAACACACATTTAACAGAAAATGTCGTAACTAAAAATGAACCTGATCTAGATGCCCAGCACACTCCTGTAGTCCCAGCAACACAGGAAGCTGAAGCAAGAGGATCACTTGAGCCTAGGAACTAGAGGCTATCCCAAGCAACACAGTGAGACTCCATCTTAAAAAAAAAGAACAAAACAACAAAAATGATTCTGCCATGTAAGATATATTTTAGAAAGGTAATTAAAAATAAATGACTAGCTAGATGAGGTGGCATACATCTGTAATCTTAGCACTCAGGAAGCTGAGGCAAGAGGGTCACGAGTTCCAGGTCAGCCTGGGCTACCAAGTGTGATCCTGTCTCAAAAAGTCAAAAAACAGAAACAAACAAATAAATAGGAAACCATTATGCCTCCATGGAAAGGATAGCAGAAAGTCTTATACCTTGATATGGAAAGTACTTCATACTGTTAATTGAAAAAAGCAATATAATATATACAACTTTTTCAAAGTCTGGTAAAATGCTCAGAGCCTACTACAAGTTCATTCCTTGCACTCAGTCTGCAAGTCTAGCAGTTGGATATTTTTTTCATCAACTTGTATCCCAGTTACATAAAACGCATTTTCCAGAAATTTTATTTTATTTTATTTATTTACTTACCTATTTATTTATTGGTACTAGGGATTGAACTCATGACCTTGCACTTGCCAGACAGGCGCTTATGCCACTGAGCTAAATCTCCAGCCTTAGAAATTTTAAATAAAGTTATTTTGTATGTATATATACATTTTGTAGGCTAAAATGATTGAATATATACTTCTATTTGTCCTTTTTTTTTTTTTTTTTGGTCTTTTTTGAGACAGGGTCTTGTTATGCATTTCAGGCTGGCCTTGAGCTCACTTTGTAGCCCAGGCTGGTCTGGAACTTGCAACGATCCTCCCACCTCAGCCTCCTGAGTGCTGGGATGAGTGCAGGCATGAGCAGTGTCCTAACTTTTAAAACTGCACTAAAATGGCCTTATAAGAATAAAGTATAGACTGATAGAAGACGAAGCTGCATGTATATAGAAGCCAGAGGCTTGGGGAAACTTTATAGTTGCTGCTCAATTTTATTATGAATATAAAAGTGCTTTTAAAATTTAAGACTATTTAAAAAGAAAAAATGAAAAAGTATGATAAATATACAGTATATAGAAAAAGTTTATGTAGGTATAAATGCATCTAAAAAGTTCTGATATGAGCTAAAATAGTTATAATTTTTTTTTTGTCTTTTTCCTTTTTATCGGTACCAGGGATCGAACTCACGACTGCCTGCTTTCAAGGCAGGCGCTTATGCTGCTGAGCTAAATCCCCAGCCCCTAATAGCTATAATTTTTTTTTTAATGAGCATCCAGTAAAGTTCTCTCTCTCAAGCCTATGCAAATATCTGAAGGCAAGAGAAGGGTGTGAGAGTGAGCCTGGTGGGGATAACAAGAGAAGACCTGTGACTGCTGGTTACATAGTGCCCTGGCTTCCTTGCTTGAGGCCAACAGAATGTGCCTGCCTGTCGCCAGGCTAACTTGGGACTCATGGGGGTCAGGGAGAAGTCTGGTTTTTCAGTTCCTGCATGATTGATTTGTAGGGTGTGTGGCCTCCTCCTAAAGGTCCAGGAAGAGAACTCTGGGATCCTCTACCACTGCCTTGATTTTTCGGAGGAAAGTCACAGCCTCTCTGCCATCAATCAGCCGGTGATGGTAGGTCAGTGCCACATACATCATAAGCCGCACCTCTACCTTGCCACCCACAGCCACTGGTCTGTCGAAAATGGGATGCATGCCAAGGATGGCAGACTGAGGAGGGTTGATGATGGGTGTTCCAAAGAGTGAGCCAAACACGCCTCCATTGCTAATAGTGAAAGTACCACCATCTATATCTTCAATGGCAAGTTCGTTCTTTCGGGCCTTCTCTCCCAGTTCACTGATGGTTCGTTCAATATCTGCATAATTCATAGTTTCCACATTCCTGATGACAGGAACCACCAGACCCGGTGGAGTGGTCACTGCAACACTGATATCAATGTAGTCCCTATACACCACTTCTTTGGTTGCATCATCAATCACTGCATTTACAACAGGCTGCTCCTGCAAGGCAAAGGCTGAGGCCTTCACAAATGCCGACATAAAGCCTAGTTTGAGGTTATGTTTCTTTAGAAAAGCATCTTTGTGCCAAGCTCTCATTTCCTGGATGTTACTCATGTCAATCTCATTGAAAGTAGTCAGTATTGCACATGTATTCTGGGCCTCCTTCAGACGCTGAGCAATTCGCTGTTGCATCCTGTTCATTTTTTCCCCGATGTTCTGAACCCTACCAGCTCCTGAATCAGCCAGTGGAGGTGCAGCTGTGGGTTTAATGGCAGAGACTGGTTTGCTAGAAGGAGGCTGTGAGGGGGAGGGCAGTGGTGGCATCTGAGTAGGCAGCAGAGGGAGGAGGAACTGCTGATACTGTAGGTTCTGCTTTTGGGGCTGCAGGGGGACCTTCGGCTGGCTTGGCCTTAACAGGTGCAGCACCAGTTTTCCTGAGTGTGAACAGAAGAGTGCCTCCTTCAACTTTCCCTCCATCAGGTACCAAAAGAGCTTCTCTCACACCATTTGCTGGTGATGGATCCTGCACAGATGTCTTATCCGTTTCAATCTCACAAACCACTTCGTCTTCTGCAACTGTGTCTCCAACAGCTTTCTCCCACCTGACATCTCCCTCTGTGACAGATTCTGCAAACGCTGGGGTATTGACTGTAATCACATCATCCTTGCACACAGCTGTGGTTCTGAAATATCGAACACTGAAGATACTACTGTTGTCAATGACAATCTTCCTGCTGTCAGGGTAACTTGGTCCCTGACATAAGGAGACCCCAGGCAGGGAACGTCTCCCTAGAGGGCAGTTCCCCTTCTGGAAGGTGGCGAGTGAGCGGCTAAATGCTGGGAACACGCAGCGTGAGTGGGACAGCATCGCAGTGGCGGACTAGTTATAATTTTTTTTTTTTTGTCTTTTTCCTTTTTATCGGTACCGGGGATTGAACTCATGACTGGCAGCTTGCAAGGCAGGCGCTTATGCCGCTGAACTAAATCCCCAGCTCCCTAGTCATAATTTTTTAAAAAATCTTTTTGGCAATAAGGTGTTGTGATGAGGTCCAGTCTGGCCTCAAACTCCTAGGCTCAAGCAATCCTTCTGCGTTACCCTTCTGAGTATCTGGGACTACAGACAGCACTGGTTTCTGGTTTTATTTTATTTTATTTTTTGGACACAGTTCAGGCTGTCCTTGAACTTACTATGTAACGCAGACTGGCCTCAAACTCAGCAAATCTGCTGCCTCAGCCTCCCAAGTGCTGGGATTACAGGCATGTTCTGGCACATTTTTTAAAAGCGTGTTTAAAACAAAAAATCCAATGAGACTGGCCTTTTACCTCCCATTGTTCACAGCTAAGAGTACACCTTGTAAAGTGAACTTGAACGTGGCAGGATGCTCCAGAGCCTTCCCCCTTGGAAAAGAATCAATTTGTACCTTCTTCTCTTCAAACACCCAATCAAGCACAGGGGACCAAGTTACTGGTATTGGAAGAGATCAGTCTCTGTGGGTGGGTTAACCATCACAGCCCAAGTCCTTGCAGCTTTTACAGCCATCCTCTTGAGTTCTTTGGTGCCTCTTTCAGATTATGATTCACCTCTAAGAAAGATTTTGACTTTTAAGAAGTCACCATTAGGGGGCCAGGGGTTTAACTCAGCGATGTAAGTCCAGGCCTGGCAAGCATGAGGTTGTGAGTTTGATCCTCAGTACCAAAAAAAAAAAAAAAAAAAAAAAAAAAAGGCGCCAATAGTGACACCATGTAATTCAGCCAACATCTGGTCAAACAAGCTTAATAAATCTGAATATGAAAGCATCTAAGCTCTGTCTCCATTCTACCTCTTTCAAACAGAAACATATAGCACAGTTGTAGAGCTTAGCATGCAGAAATTTCCAGTACACACACACACACACACATCCAAAGAACACATGGTCTGAAAATACTGAGATATTCACCATTAATCTTTTACAGAAAAAGTTTCCTAATGCCTAATCAAGGGGATCTATGCTTTATATTTTATATTTATCTACTTGGAAGTACTCGAGATCAAAACTAGGGTCTTGCGCTTGGTATATAAGCACTCTACCACTAGTTACACCCTCATTCCTATTTAAAAATTTTCTTGCCAGGTGTGGTAGCATATACCTGTAATCCCAGCTACTTGGGAGGAAAAGGTGGGATGATCCAAATTTGAGGCTAGCCTGGACAAATTAGCGAGACTTTATCTCAAAATAAAATTTAAAAAAGGACTAGAAATATAGCTCAGTGGTGGTGTGTTTACCTAGCATATATGAGGCCATGGGTTCAACTCCCAATACAGCAAACAAATAATCAAAACTTTCTTCACAGATTTGTATTATTCTTTAACTATGGTGATAATTTTTTTTAAAGATGCAAGGATGTTTAAACATATTAAGCCATCTAAGAGTTTCCTAAAAAATAAACGCTTCCTAGCTTCCTTCATGTCAATCCCTTGGTAGAGCATATGAGTATAGATTTATAAGTGATATTTATACATGAGTGTTGAGCAAATTTTGAGAGGGACCGAAAATAACACTTTCCAGATGGGGGAAGTCATCCTTGGAAGGGAGCATGGCAGGCTGCAGTTAGAGGGGCAGGACTCATGGCTTACAGCAACAGCCACATAGGCCATCTTCTCCTGGCTGGGCACATTGTGGCATTTCTGGAGCTTCCTCAGCAACCTCCACAGTACCCAGGTTGTGTTGGGCAGGTCTATCTTCAGGGTTCTCCACAATGCAGCTAGATTTCTGGAAATCCAGAGTAAGAAATGTCAGGAGAATGGCTTATCCTGGGCCTATCATGACCACAACTTTCCCAGAATCTGGAATCCAATTTCTAAGAGGTTTTCCTCTTTGATCAGTTCTTCAGGGCATCATAGAGACAAACTAATCTGATTTTTTTTCATTCATTGAGTAAATCTTTACTGAACGTTTATTGTGTGTTAGGCCCTGTTCTAGGCTCTGGGGATATATTCATGAACAAAGAAAAGAATTCTGCTCTTGTGGAGCTTACTCTTGAGATTGGGATGGGATTGGCAATACAGTTACATAAATCCAACCATACCTATTGGCAAAAAGATACATATATTTATAATTATTAATATTAGAAAAGTCAGCCAGATGTGGTGGTATAGGCTTGTAATCTCAGCACTCAAGAGGCTAAGGCAGGAGGATTGTGGAGAGTTTGAGACCAGCCTGTGTTACAAAGAGAGCTCAAGGCCAACCTGAACTGTATAGTGAGACCCTATCTCAAAAAGACAAAAAAAAAAAAAAAAAAAAAAGAAAGAGAAAAAAAGAAAAGTCTGCTGGTAGTATGCAGTTTTATTATACATTGTACTTACTATTTGCATGATATATTCAGACATACATATCAATAAGACTTAGAGGAAACTTTACTGGCAATGTAAAAGATTTTAAAGGATCACTTTGAATGTGCTTAATTTTATCCTTTAGCAGTCTTTAAAATCTAACCACCTTTATAACTTGAGACTAGACTGTGCCAAAATGAAGTATCCGTGATTGCTGGGCAAAAGGATTTGAGAATGAGAACAACATGATGAATTCTTGTCTGGTCCATCTGGTCTAGTAACAGAGAAAAAGACACAATATATCTACAATCAATCCAATTTCTGGGTTTTTTTTTTTGAGGGTGGAGTACCAGGAATCAAACTCAGGATTTCAGGCTTGCCCAGCAGGTGCTGTGCCACTGAGCTAAAACCCCAATCCTAATTTGATTTCTTAACAGTAGGCGTCAAAGTTTTAGTAAGCCAAGTTCCCATGGCCTGGGCATGGACTTCAGGGAAATTCACAAACTGGTCCTAACCTAATTTTCTAGTCCTACAATTTCCCTACCACATACTTTGTGCTTTCATCACCCCATACTAATTATCTTTGCCAGACAAACCTATACCTTTGCCTGGATCATTTTCTTTAATCAGAAGACCCTTCCCTCAAAGTCTCCTGTGCCCATCAGCGCCCTTTGAGTTCCAGCTCTGGTGTCATCTCCTCTGTGAAGCTTTTACTGCTTCTTCACCAAGTCTTTCACCAGAGTTCCATAGCACTTTTTAAAACTTTCTCTTTATGGAGGTGGCCTCAATCTTGCACATGCCATGGCTAGTTCTCTATATTTATGTCTACCTGTTCCTGCTGAAGGGAGGATTATATCTAACTCTTTCATGATTCCTTTGGGACCTAGCACAATGATAGATTGACAGAAGGCATTCAAAGACATATCTTGTTCAATCCAGTCTATGATCCTCATACTGGTTAAGGTCAAGCACTACAATAAAGTTGTTTTTTTTTTTTTTAATCGGTATCTGGAATCGAACTCACGACCACCTGCTTACAAGGCAGGCGCTTATGCTGTTGAGCTAAATCCCCAGCCCTACAATAAAGTTTTGATCCTATTTAGAAGAGATTTAAAAAAAAAAGATTTTAAAGAAAGTAATGTTTCTCAAAAAGACCATGAGTTGGGTGTGGCAGTGTATACCTATAATCCCAGCACTCTGAGAGGCTGAAGCAGGAAGATAACAAGTTCTTAGCCTGGATTACTTTGTAATTTAGGAAGACCTGGCTCAAAAAAAAAATTTTTTTTAAAGAGCTTCAAAGCCATGTGTGGTAGTGCATGCATGTAATCCCAGTACTTTGGGACACTGAGGCAGGAGGACTGCAAATTTGAGCCCAGCCTGGGCAACTCAGCAACTTCATGTAAACTCTGTCTCAAAAATAAGAAGTTAAAAAAAAAAAAAAAAGGCTAGGGCTATAATTCAGTATGAAATTCTTGGGTTCAATCCCTAGTACCAGCTACCTCCCCCCCAAAAAGACTCCAAATATGACATTACAGCTAAGGTCAATCTGGGCAATACAGTAAGACATCATGAAGAGGCTGGTCCGATGGCAGTGAGTTATCAGAACTTATTAACATTAGCGTCACTAAAGTTGGTATACCACCCCCCCCACTACTAAATTTGACTGGCTTTAAAAAAAAAAAAAGACATCATGAAGAAAGGAAAGGAGAAGGAAAAGGAATAAAGGGAAATTTTTCTTTCCATTATTGATTTCATTATAGGGAGTGAGTACTACGGAGAAGTATAGGGGGAGAACACTAGGAATTATTATATTTTTAAGCCTGGTTTGTGTGTGCTGTGGATCAAACCCAGCGCCTCTCATATCCTAGGCAACCATTCTACCACTGAATTATACCGCAGTCAAACCTACTTTCTTATTTTCAAAACCTACTTATGCGTCTTTGTATGCTAGAGACAGGGTTTTTTGTTTTGTTTTCTTGAGACAATGTCTCGCTAAATTGCCCAGTGTTATGCTTTGTGTCTGATGTCCCCCAAAGGGGGATTTTGTTTAGTTTAGTTTTGTTTTTGGGGGGTGGGCTTTTGAGGTGGCTGACTCTAGAGTTTATGACTGACTCATGGTCCAATGGTGGGATTAAGGGTGTGAGAGTCATATCTGCTCTAGGGAGGGTGGCCTGCATACAATGTGAGGGACAGAAAGAGGCTTGTCCCTTTTCTCTTTTGTTGCTTTTTGCTGTCTTCTGCACCATGAACTGTGCTCCCCTGCTATGTTTCACCCTGCCTTGAAGCCAGCTGACTATGGACTGAAACCTTTCCAGCCCACTTACAGCTAAATAAACCTTTCTCCAATTTGAGTGACAGGCAGTTTGTCTCAGCAACAAGAAAAAAGTCACTAAGACACCAGTGACCTTCAATTTGTAACCCTTTTGTCTCAGCTTGGGAATACAAATGTGTACCACCATGCCTAGCATGAACGTGTCTTTTTTCTTTTTTGGTACCAGGGATTGATCTCATGACCTCACACTTGCCAGGCAGGTACTTATATCACTGAGCTGTACCCCTAGCCAAGAATATGTCTTTGAAAGTATGGTTTTCCAATTATCTGCATGAGACTAACTTTTAAAAATTGGTTTAACTAGAGACTATCCCAATATTTCACTCTCTATGTTAGTAATTCTAACTTGAATAAAATGAAAGGAGGTGGTCATAATACTCCTGAAGGGGAGGCCAGAAAGATAACTTGGGATGCTGAGAAGCTTTATGACTAACAAGATAATGAGATGGTAGAATATGAACCTTCATCATGGGAGGTCATTAAGAAATTCCTGTGCTTGCTCACCTTTGGTTATTTTCTCTAAATTTCCTGAAAGAGTAGTAAGTTAGTTTGTGGGTTTTGTTTGTCTGTTTTTTTTTTTTTTTTTTTTTTTTTTTTTTTTTTTTTTTTTTGAGACAGGATCTTGCCGTGTAGCTCATGGTGGCCTTAAAGTCAGTGTGTAGCTCAGGTTGGCCTCAAATTGGCAGTGATTCTCCTGCCTCAGCCTCTTCAATGCTGGGATTACAAGGATGTGCCACCCATAGCCCGCAATAAATTAACAGGGATGTGCTATCCAGGCCCAGCAATAAATTACTTTGAAAAGCTATTTATTGGGCCAGGGATATAGCTGAGCTGCATAAGCACCTGCCTGGCAAGCACAAGGTTCTGAGTTTAATTTCTGACACAAAACCAAATATAAGCTATTTATTATAAAAGAAGTGTTCCAAAATTCTTTTGGCTTGTTGCATATTTGTAAGTGTGCTGGCAAATAAATATGAATTGGAAAGCACAAAGACTTTAAACCAATGATTCACAGATTTCTGTGTGAAAAAAAAATCATCCATAAAGTCTAAAAATACAGACAAGGTCTCACCACTCATGATATTGATTCTGCAGATGTGATGTGGTTTTTGTTTGTCCATCATCCTTTTGGATCACCTTCCCCTAGATCTTTTTTTTTTAGTCTTTTTCGTTTTTATCAGTACCAGGGATCGAACTCACGACTGCCTGCTTGCAAGGCAGGCGCTTATGCCGCTGAGCTAGCCCCCCAGCCCCCTTCCCCTAGATCTTTAATAATCCTATTTGGCCCATGTAGTTTGGTGGGAGCTGATTGCAAGCCTAGCACATTGTCTGAGCTAAAAGAAAAGCCTCCTTTTCTATTGTCATCTCTACTAATATTAGTGTAAGTGCTTCCAACGATAAAAAAATGGACAGAACCCTCATAAAATGAAATGAAGACAAGCTGCATGTGGCGGTGCATTCCTGTAATCCCAGAACTTGGGAGGCTGAGGCAGGAGCATCACTGCAAGTTTGAGATCAGCCTGGGCTACAAAATGAGCCCAAGGCCAGCCTAAATTGCATAGCGAGATCTTGTCTCAAAAAGACATTAAAAAAAAGAAAGAAAGAAAGACCCTTGGACTTTGCAGTACTATAAGTCTGTACAACTCTTATGATGGTTTGATACTATAAGTCTGTACAGCTCTTATGTTCCATCTCTGCTAGTCCCAGCTAAGAGTTCTAATGAAGCCGTGTGTGGCGGGTTCCTGTGATCCCAGCACTCTAAGGTAGGAAGATCACAAATTTGAGCCTAGCCTGAGACACATAGTGAGACCCTGTTTCCAAAAAAAAGGCTAGAGATGTAGTTCAGTGTGAAGGTCCCGATTTCAGTCCTCAGTGCTACCAAAATCAAACAAACAATGACAAAAAACTAAAAACCCCACAAAGAGTTCTAACTAATATCCTGTGGGTAATACAGTAGGTCTGGGATAATCTTTAGGGTTTTGGAAGAAGCTTTTAAACAAGCATCCACAGCTGGATGGGTGAAAGCCCTCCATTATTTGATTTAGTAGTAAAATGTTACGGTTAAGAGCAGCACTACACCAAGACATTATATGAAAAACATTCATGTAAAAGAGTGGTTTTCAGATAGGTAAAAGCAGAAAAAATATTTTTGTCAGCTAAAAAAATTGATAAGAATCGTGGGGCATGGTGGCTCATGCCTATAATCCCAGCACTTGGGAGGCTGAGGCAGGAGGATCATTGCAAGTTCGAGACCAGCCTAGGCTACAAAGTGAGTTCAAGGCCAGACCGAGACCCTGTCTCAAAAAAAGACAAAAAATAAAAACAAAAACAAAAAACTTGATCAGAATCACAGCACAGAAAGCAGATAAAAGGAGATATGGCTCCAGTTGAAGTGGGGGTGGGGAGAGACCTGGCTCTGTCGCCTGAAGTGTCACTTGCAACTCATGGCCTCACCTGGACCTGCCAGTGTGAGTATCTCTTAGCTGAAAATTCTGTTTGTCTCTGTACTCTTCTCAGTAAATACATCTATAATTTTTTTTGAGATAGGGTTGCACTATGTAGTTCAGGCTGAACTTGAACTCACTATGTAGCCCACGCTGCACTTGAACTCACAGCAATCCTCCTGCCTCTTCTCTGCGCATACATTTATAACTTTTTTGAGACAGTCTTACTCTGTAGTTTAGGCTGGTCTTGAATTCACAGCAATCTGCTTGCCTCAGTTTCTTGAGTGCTGGGATTCCAGGCATGAGCCATCATGCATCACTTATAATTTCTCTTTATGCATCAGTTTATTCGTTTACTTATTTTGTGGCCAAACCATTCTGCAAGTATGACATTTTACCCTACATAATTTCTGTGTCTATCTTCTTCCAGTAAGACTATCTATCTGTATAATCATAGTATCATTTCACAGCTAAGGAAGTTAGCGTAATAATCTTAATAATCTATCAGGTCATATTTAAATTTTCTTTTACAGATTTTGTGTTTAATCCATGATCCAATCAAGGTCATTTACTGCATTGGGTTATGTTGGTTTACTCTATTTTTATCTAGAACAGTACCCCACCACCATTTTTATCTCATGACATTACTTTTTTTTTGTTTTCTTTTGGTACTGGGGATTGAACTCACAACCTCACACTTTCTAGGCAGGCGCTTATGCCACTGAGCTAAATCCCCAGCTCATGACATAACTTTTTTGAAGAATCCTAATTATTTTACAGAATGTTCTTCACAGTGCATTTGCTGTATTATTTCCTTATGTTCATGTGTTATGCTCTGATCCCAAGCATCTATCTGTATCTTATCTCCTCCACAAGACTCTCATTAATTTATTTTTGGCTTTTTTGAGTTGGTTTCACAATATTCCATGGCTTTGAACTCATGATTTGTTGCCTCAGCCTCCCAAAGCGCTGGGATTATAGGTGTGTGCCACCGTGGTTGGCTGAGTCTCATTAGTTTTTTGTTTTGGCTTATTTTTTGAGACAGGGTCTTGCCATGTGGCCCAAATTAGTCCTGAACTCACTAGGGAGTCCAGACTGGGCTCAAATTCTCAGTGATCCTCCTGCCTCAGCCTCTCTCTTTAGCTGTTTTTGTTTTTGTCTTTTTGAGACAGGATTTCACTCTGCAATCCAGACTGGATTTGTAGCCCAGGCTGGCCTCGAAATAGAAGTGATCTTGCCTCAGCCTCTTGAGTGCTGGGATTACAGGTGTGAGCCATCACGCCTGGCTCTCATTAGATATTTGAGGGCAACCTTGTTCCACAAAACTCAGGTTATGTACTCCAATTTAATCCAGAGGATGTACAGGTTCTGTTACCTGTCATATGGTATTGGTTGACACAGAAGGTGGCTAAGCACTATATCTGTGTACTTGGGTCTGGAGATAAACAAACTCACAGTACTTATGATTTGCTGGCGGACTCCTGGCTGACTGATTATGGGTAGCTGGGCACAGATAACTCCCATAATTTCTGGTACCTGAGGAGAAAAAATAAATTACTAGAATCTTAATCCTGTGTGACATTACTGATTTCTGAGGATATTGTAGCCATTTCTGAAAAATCCTAGGGGGTGATTTTTAAACAATGTTTTTACTTGAAAAAGTGTTTTTAAAAATGGTGTAGTTCAGTGGTAGACTCCTTGCTTAGCATGCACAAGAATCTGGGCTTAATCCCCAGTACCAAATGTTTATAAACAAAACTACTTAAGATGTGTATCTGTATGTATAAATATGTCCACAAATAGATTTGGAGTCTGACATGGTGGTGCATGCCTGTAATCTAAGCATTCTGAGAGGCTGAGGCAGGAGGATCATAAATTCAAACCCAGCTTGGGTAATTCAATAATTTAATGAAAACTTCTCTAAAAATAAAAAAAAGTGCTGGGAATATGGCCCATGAGAATGTTCTGCTTTATATATGTGTGTGTGTGTGTGTGTGTGTGTGTGTGTGTGTGTGTGTGTCTTGGGGCTCAGTTACATGATATATGTCTTGGGCTCAATTACCAGTACCACAATAAGTAAATAAATAAATTTGGAAGGCTGTAAAATAAAAAACATTAAAGGTGTATCTTTGAGTAACGGAATATTACATTTTTTCCCTAATTTTTTCTCAATAATTACATATTGATTTTATAATAAACAAAGAAAGGTATTGCAGTAAAACTTTTTTTCCTCACTTTGAGCCTGATTATGGCAGAGGAGTCCTCGTCTACCTTTCATTAGGACACGACTACCAGATCGAGTAACGGAAACGGGATCCATGGGACTTTGGCCTATTTCTTTGCTTGGACTACTCTTCCAGTAGATTCATGGCTTCGGGTCTCAGTAGAGCTGTCAGCTCCCAGAGAGGCAGCTCTCAACATCCTGACAGAAAATGGCTGCCATCACTACCGCTTGCCAGAAACTGGGATGAAGCTTAGACATGCGATTGAACTCTGGCTAATGAAACATGAGTGACAGATTTATTGGGGTCTTTTGAGAAAGATGTTTTTCCTTTAATAGAGTGGAGAAAACAAAGTCAAAATCCTACTTCTTTCTGATTAGTCTATTCTGTTCATAAGATCTCAAATTGCTCTGTCTACTTTACAACCACATGAATAGAAGAGTAAAAAGAAAAGCCTCTGAGTCTTGAATAACATTGTTGAATTGCTGAACCCATTCTGGAAAACATAAAAATATTATATGTCCATACTTTTAATATGTTTATATTATGTAATTTAATATATTTTAATAAAGATACATATTAATATAAACATGTATCATATATAGCAGTAAATCCTTTGGTTAAACCTCTCATAGTAGGCCTTTTTAGACCCTGAAAGCACCCAAATCATGCACGTTTCCATCTCACCCTGCTCTTTATACTGTTCCTTTCTTGCTTTTTCACAGACTCTTTCATTGCAGTACTCTCGGGGCTGAGCCCAGGGTCTTCCTGCCGAGCCGCCCCTTCCCTCCTCCCTTCCATGTTCTCTGCACCAGTGCTTTGTGCATGCTATGCAAGTGTTCTCCTACTGAACTGTGACGCAGCCCTTAGTTTGTATTTTTATCAACTCTTATTGAATGGAGAAATGTTTCTGAGCAAAGGGATTAAGACACCGGTCCTGTCCCCAGTTAGTAGCTGTTCTCAGCTGACCGGGGGAGGAGTGGAGAGGTTTTGCTGGCATTTCAAAACCAGACAATGACCACTGAGTTCGTACCTTCTCAAATCGGGACTCCGCATTTTTTACCAATGTTAGTAGCAATTCTCCAGCTAATTCCTGGTTGTGAGTATGTTTCAGCTTTTTTAGGCTGTTCAATGTAGTCATTACAAACTGGCAGAGCTCATTTGAGTTGAGGAAACCTTCAAAGACCTGAAGTGATTTAGAAAAAGTGAACTTCTAAGAAATATGTTATGATTAGAGCCATGAACAAAAATTAATACTTTTTTGTTCTTTTGAGAAAAACAGATGGAGTCTTGCTATGTGGTTCAGGCTGGACTTGGACTCACTATGTAGCCCAGGCTGGCCTTGCAGTGATCCTCCTGCATCAAACTCTTGAGTGCTGAGATTACAGTTATGTGCCACCACGCCATGCAAAAACTAGTTTTTAACTTAGCAATCAGAGAAGTGTACAGATGTGCAAGGTTGCTTTTTTCAATCTTGTTAGAAAGTGAAAACTAGAAATACTGTTAAAAGTTGGGCAAGGCCTTTTACTGCCAGACTTTTAGAAGCTTCATGATGAGGCCTTTAGAAAGAGTCACAGTTTACAGAAGTAAGAGAAAGGTTCTAATAAAAGAGACACAGTATATGTGGCATCACTAAAATGCCTTATGAGGCGATAACATATTAAAAGTGTGTTATTCTACTTCTTGTTGCATCTGGGACTGTATAAAGTAGTTCACATGATTATAATAGGTGCAATGTATGGGGGCTTACTCTGTGACAGGCATTAAGTAAACCATTTTCCACATGATATCTCATTTAACCTTTGCAAAACCGAGTTATTCTAATCTATTTCACAGATGAGGAAACTGGAGCTGTGCTGAGAGATTAAATTGCCCGATACCTTTGATCCTATAGACATACGATTTGTAGGTTTTCCTTTTCCCTAGTCTCTCATGTGCATGGTACCAGTAGACATGTAAGTATTCGTTAAGTAAAAAAATAACTACATTAATTTAAAAATGTGTGGCTCATGACTCAACTACTCTTTCTTATAGCTCCTGTTGGTGATATGAGTTTACATTTGTAAGCAGCTGGCACTCAGGGACAGCAGAACTAGCCTGAAGACAAAGCCATATAGTGACACAGGCCTCTTGGCAGGTTGAACTAGGCAGCAAATTAAGAGCACAGGTGTTTAGTGTTAGGGCTTGAGGAACAAACCAGGAGTTTAAAGCAGCATGCTGTGCCAGCTGTAGTTAAGTAAAGAAACAAAAACTGAAATTTACAACCATGTATTGAGTCTCAAACCCAGACTCAGGGCCTCTGTCTCTAGAACAAGGCATATGGCATTCCTGGTTATCAGAGTCTACAGTCCAATGATATTCCCAAACTTGCGCTGGACTTGCTGTTTTAAGAATTCATCTTTGGAAAATTTCTTCTATAATTAAGACCCCTGAGGGAACACTGATCATCTGAAAAGACATTTTGCAATTCCAAAATAACTTCTAAGAAAACTATTGATAAACCTATTGCCTTAGCCCCTATTACCTCAGTTACCCCCAGAGTAACTCTTGTGTGCCATAAAAAGATATCCAGACTTCCACTGGAAGTGGACACCTTTGGTGGCACTGCCTCCCTTCTCACCTCTTTATATCAATGTTACAACCATTTCTACCCATACTTCTGCAGGGTTGCCTACGTGTCTTGAATTCTTTCATCAAGGGCACAAAGGACCAAGGAGCATCACAAGGCGCGGTTCCTTGTGACTAAGAATCTGCTTTCCCTGTGACATCTTTTTGGTTCCAGGACGACCCCAAATTGTGATACAGGTCTAACTGGCAGGTTGTCCTAATAACTAAAGGGTCAGGCATATGTGTGTCATAAACATGGTACTTTGTCTCCAAACTTGAATGTGTAGGGAGCACATTCCCAGGCAATCTAATATGTTTAATTTTTAAGAAACCACCAGAACATTCTCCAAAGTGATTTTTTTCCATTTTCCATTTTCATAAAGTGATTTTTTTCCATTTTCCATTTTCATAAACAAACAAATTGAGATTTCTGGGTGCTTCACCCTTACCAACATTTAAAGTTGATTTTATGTTTCTAGCCATTTTGATTACCTGAGCAATTTTGAAAGGATCACGGTAAAACTGCTTAATATCGTGGTGCTCTAGAATTTCACAGCACTTTTTCAACCCTCTTCTCAAGCTCTGATGGTTTGTTTTGTCCTGAGTGGCATCTAAGAACAAAGTATGAGCAGTTGTTACTTTCTGGCTTATTTCATTCTTTTTGATTTTACAAGTCTGGTTGATCGCCAGGTCATAATGGATTCCAAGATTTTAATTAAAAGTGCCTGGGAGAGGACACATGGGTTAATCTGATGGCTGATTTGTTTTTCCTTTATCATAGAACAATATATACAAAGGGAAGGACAGAAAAAAGAACTTTCCTGAAGAGCAGAGCTCACTGAGGAAATTAAGCTCTCTATGAAGCTTAAATTCTGACAAAAATGTGATAATTCTGTTATCAGATATCTTCAGTCATTTTGTGTTTATAGAGCCTGTTAGCACTTGGGTAGTGCTATCATCTGTCTGTCTTTTAGTGAAAAAAAATGTTTTCAATAGAGCTGTCTCTCTTCCTGTTTTTTTCCTCCAGTCTAACAACACATTCCTTTGGCATTTTAAAGGGAAGCCTCTACAAATATCCACTCCTCACTTGAGCTTATATAAAAAAGCTTGAGAAGTACTGCCTGAAATGACGTGTGCAGATGCTAACCCTAGGAGGTTAGGGCATAGGTTAGGGTTAGGGTTAGGTTAAGTTTCATTTTGATGAAGGACAAGGGGCACAGAGAATGGTCCAAAGATCTATTTTTAAAAATGTTTTAAAGAGAGAAACTTAACAAAATAAAACAGAATAAAGACAATCAAAACAGTGAAAGTGGCACAGAACTTCAAAACAGGATAACAGGAAATCAGCAATGGCTACCATAATGTATTTTGTTATCTTCAAAATAGTTGTCCATACCAATATGATAAAATCAAATAAAATAAAACAGAATAAAACCAATCAAAACAGAACAAAACAGTGAGAACAATACTGATTTTCAAAAACAAGACAGAAGAAAATCCCCTATATTTACTATATTGCACACTGTTACCCTCCTAATAGGTGCTCGGACTACTGACCTTAGGTCTGCTGAGTCAATCAAACAATACAAACATGTAGTTGTGACTTGAACTCACAACCTTGTGCTTACCAGGCAGGCACTATGCCACTGAGCTGGATCACCAGCCCTGTAGTTGTTTTTGTACCTCAGTGGCTATCAACTCAGCCAGTCTTCTAGTTGTGGAGTGGGGCTTCCTGACAAGGGGAATTGCCTTGTCTCTCTTCCTTGGCCTGCACAGTTTGCCCAAGGCACAGTCTAAAGAAGACTCCTTCCTCATCTTCCTCACAATAAAAGCCCTTCACATCCCTGACCACTGGAAGATACAGGCTGCAGACAGCAAGAGACTCATATCTTTTTTTTTTTTTTTTTCTTTTTCCTTTTCATCATTACCGGGAATCGAACTCACGACTGCCTGCTTGCAAGGCAGGTGCTTATGCCGCTGAGCTAAATCCCCAGCCCCTGAGACTCATATCTTTTGAGCTGGCTTTGAATAAACCTTTTCTATTTTATCAAAATTCTGTCTCCCAAGTTTTTTTTTTTTTTTTTCTTTTTATCGGTACCGGGATTGAACTCACGACTGCCTACTTGCAAGGCAGGCGCTTATGCTGCTGAGCTAAATCTCCAGCCCCTTCTCTCATGTTTAGTGTGTCCTCTTATTCCTGGAAACTTCTCTGTTCAAAATCTTTCAGCCCTTAGACTAGGCTATTATCTCTCCAACTGGAAACTATTTCATTCCTTGAGGAAGTAATCTTGTCAGTCTTTTTAGTGATACATCTCTACGACAAAGGGTCAATATTTGTTGAATCCATAACCAGCTGTATTTCTGGCTATGAATCTTGGTATGTATTTCTCATATTCAGAGCTGTCCAAAGATGGGATTGCTGCTGGGAAGCTCAGAGCTTCCTTATCTGTAGGCTGAGCAAGCCCGAGGTGGGGCTGGAGTAAATGAGATTCACACACTGGGGGTACAAGGTTGGGTATCTTCTAAACTCTCTTCTAGCTGGGGAAGTCAGATTTGGTCCTTGACCTCAGTTTTCTAACTCGGCAAGCTCATACCTGCTGAAGCCCTTACTCATTCTGTTCCCTCAGCCTGATGTACTCACTGGTCACATAGCTAATTAGTGATACCTTCAGAGAGGACTTTTCTGAATGAAACTAGATGTGTTTTTTGTTTGTTAGTTTGTTGTTTTTGTTTCTCACTTTTTTGTAGTGGTGGTGGTAGGGACTGAACCCAGAGCCTTCACACTGAACTCTATCCCTAGCCTTCTGTATTTTGAGACAGGGTCTCATTAAATTGCCCAGGCAGAACTTGAATTTGTGGTCTTTGTCAGAGCACTGAAAAATTCTAGGCATGCCCCACCATGCCTGGCTTGTGTACTTTCCTCTTTATGAGCTACTGTGAAAAGTCTTTCTAGATCACAGAGATGAAGGGCATGTCTACAGCATACCACTCTGAAGAGGCCTGATCTCCTCTGATCTTGGAAGCGAAGCAGGGTGGGAACTGGTTAGTACTTCGATGGAGAGAAGGAGGGCGCAAGGAGAGCCGGAGAGAGAGCCGGAGCTTGTGTTATACTAGACAACTGACTCAGAACCCCATTGCCTTCAGCAGTGTCTTACACTTCAGCCTCAGGGTGACATGCAGCAGGTAGCGTGTGCCTTCTGCAGCCTCTTCAGCCACCTCTTTCAGTGGGTCTCCACACAGCAGTGCCATCAGAGCTACCAGATGTCCAAGGCTTTGGAATTGCAGTGGAAGCTGATTAAAAAGGAAAAAGAAAAAACGCTTTCAGAATGTAAGTACATTTAGTGTCTTAAATTGAGGTGTTGACAGGTAGACACTTTTACTTTGAACTCAAGAGCAGTACAGTCACATTAAGCCCTTAGATCTTTAAAAAGCTAGTATTTAACATGTATAGGTACAATGTATCTAGCAGACAGCATTACATATGGCAACTGTACCTTAAGTGAAAAACCTGAAAATGAAAAGGCTATATGCATTATTCCAAACCAGGTGTGGTGGTGTAGGCCTGCAATCCTAGCTTTCAGGAGACTGAGGCAGGAGGATTACTGTGAGTTTGAGACCAGCCTGGGTTACATATAAGTTCAAGGCCAGCCTGGACTACATGATGAGATCCTGTCTCAAACAAAACAAAACAAAACAAAACACAAAAAGTTCATTCTAGCATTATTATTATTTATTTATTTTTTTGGTCTTTTTCATTTTTATCGGTACCAGGGATCAAACTCATGACTGCCTGCTTGCAAGGCAGACACTTATGCCGCTGAGCTAAATCCCCATCCTCTCTAGCATTATTTTTTATAAAACACTCTTTGAAAGTAATCAATCAATAATGGTAAAAGGAATGATAGTACAGCCACTCTATAAATGTATTCTTAGAGGCTGAAACAGGAGAAATCCAAATTTAAGGCCAGCCTGGGCCTACAGCAAGATACTTTCTTAATACGAAAAAAAACCAAAATCTCACAAATAGATAAACCAACAAAACTAAGGCAGAAATGATCAATTAAGAATTTTGTTAGCATGCAGAATGTACATTACCATTTGTTCAAGGTAAGCCACAGGGTGGGGCTCTGAACTTTCTTTTGCTAACAGAGGTGCACACAATGTCCTGTGCATGATTACCATGGTCCATAAGAGCCATATAAAGCAGCACAGATTTTCCTTAGACTGAGGCAGAAAGAAATTTCTTCTGTGTTTTTCAGAAACAAGACACAGAAATAATGTGAACACCAGCATCTATGGCCTTTTTAGAGTAAGTACAGAAACATGCAAAGCTTTATAATGTGTTTAATTTGTTGCAAATTGATTGGCACTGGACATAGAAGCAGTGAACAAAAAAAGAACATCTCTACTCAAGGAAGTAATAATCTAATTGAGGAAGCATTAAATAAGCAAAAGAAACAACTAAAATGTATTATGTGTCAAATAGTGATAAATATTATGATGAAGGGATGATGAAAAGGGACAGGAATTGTTACCTTAGAATGGGGACTGAGCCTGCGGGTTCTGGGAGAAGAGCAGCACAGGGATGGGGAAGCAGGCACTGAGAAGGGGAAAGTTTGGTGTTCTTGGGGGACAACAATAGGCCAGGAGGCTGGGACAAAGTAAACAACAAAAAAACAGGAGCTAGACAGAGAAGGGGACAGAACAGTGTGGCAACTTAAAGAACATTACATGGTTCTGAGGCTTTCTTCTGGGTGGGATGGGAAGCCATTAGAGAATTTTCAGCAGGGAAGAGACTTCAGCTCACTAACATTTATTAATTGAGCATGAAGCATGTGGTAGATTTTGTGCAAGGCACTGAGGACTCTGATGAATAATATAAACATTATTACTAGTGTCATTTACATTCTATTAGAGGAAAGCAGCTAGTAAATTAATAAAGCAAAAATCTCCAGCCCTAAGAAGTCCTGGGAGGGAAAAATAGTGATAAGCCACACAGCAAGGGCATATTTTTTTGGGTAGCAAAAGCCTTTTTGAGGTGGAGACGTTTGGATTGAGCACTAGAAAAGGAAGAAGGGCTAGCCATGTGAGGAGCTGAGGAAGGTCATTCCAGACAGAGGAAGCTCTAAGTACAAAGGACTTGCGACAAGACAAGTGGCCAGCAAGTAGTGTGTTACTGAGTGTAGAGAGACACACAAAACCTTATATATATATATATATATTTTTTTTTTTTACAAGACCTTATATTCTAATGGTAATTGGATATCACCAAATAGTTCAGTGTGGCCTTGAGCTTGTTGAAATCCTCCTGCCTCAGCTTCCCAAGTGCCAGGGTTACACATGTGGGCCATCATACCCAGCTGGTATAGACAAGAGAATTATGTTCCTCAGCTGATTACTAAGTACTCCTTTAAATCTTTACATACATACATATACATGTGTGTGTTGATTTTTTTGCTTTTTGAGAGACAGGTTCTCACTAGGTTGCCTATATTGTCCAGCCTGGCCTCAAATTTTCGATCTGCTTACCTCAGCCTCCTGAGTAGCTGGGAGTACAGGTATGCACCACTATGTCCGGCCTTTTAATATTGTATTTTGGGTTCTTTTGAGAATTTGAGAACAGGGACCCAGAGAAATGTACCAAAACTCAATGAACTGTACACTTAAACTGAATAGATTTTAATTGTAAATAAATTATAATCGGGGCCAGGCCAACCCTTCCCTGTGAGCCTGCTGCAGCCATGCATCCCAGGAAGAGAACCAAGAAGAAAGCTAACCCTTCCTGCGAACCAGAAGTAGTCACAGGCTGGGCCAACCCCTCCCTGAGAACCAGCCAGAATGCCGGGTGGCAGGCAGGAAGTGCCAAGGCCACCAGCACCCCCATCTCAAGCAACTGGCTGATTCGGAGAAACACAGGCTGAGATGATATAGCTACTGAAGTAAAAAAAACAAAATTAATGCCTGTATTGTTTGGCTGACTTTGCAGGCCTAAAGCCGATAGTCTGAGCATCTATTTAGAGGATAACAATATACAATATAGCAACTATGAGGGATCTCCTTCTGAAGACGGTAGCCATTGTTAATTCCCTATTATTTTGTTTTAAAGTCCTATATCATTTTGTTTTGTTTTGTTTGATTTTATTACATCTGATGGTATGGGCAGCTATTTTGAAGATAACAAGATATATTATGGTAGTCATTGTTGACTTCCTATTATCTTGTTTTGAAGTCCTGTATTTCTTTCACTGTTTTGTATTGATTGGCTTTATTCTGTTTTATTTTGCTTGGCTTTATTCTCTTTAAAAATTATAACTCATTGTAAGGAAAGCTCTGGACATTCTTCAGTAAAATCCAGAAGACTGCAGCACACAAAATTCTGAACACAACTTCCAAATGTTCATGCATCCCAATGGTACCAGGTTAAGAACTCTTATATTAGCAACTTTCTCTAGGAAAGAAAATGCAAAGGAAGAACTCCAGGAACAGAGGGAGTTATATGAAACTCTTCTTTAATTGTAGCTAAACTTAGAGGTTTAGGAAGAATAATGTATTGCTGTTATCAGTGTAGTAGGGGAAGCTAAGCATGGTAGTACACACCTGTACTTCCTACTACTTGGAAGGGTGAAGCAGGAGGATCACTGTAAATTCAAGGTCAGCCTGGCTTATATAAGTGAGTTCAAGGCCATAATGATCTATATAGTGAGAACCTATTTTAAAAAAATAGTAGGGGAGTCAGTGATGGTTAGAAGTTACTTGTTTTCCTTCATTAAAAAGGAAAAAAGAGAACCGAGCCAGGCATTGTGGTGCACACCTGTAATCTCAGTGAGGCAGGAGGATTGCCCTGAGTTCAAGGCCAGGCTGAACTGCATAGTGAGACCTGGTCTCAAAAAAAAAAAAAAAGGTGGTAGTGAGAATAACATAGTCTGAGGGCTGAATTTGCGTGGATATATTTTCAATGTAAGAAATAAGAAAGCTAATAGAATGCTTTTAAATGTGACTTAGAACATCGGTATGAAGAACAAATTCTCTGAGGAAAACTTTGACACCAAGGTTCGGCATCCCGAGCTCACCGACTTCTCCTTCACTTTCCAGCGTTATTGCTTAGCAGGGAGAAATGGTCAATGGAGAACAGAAGTACCAGTGGCTAGAAGATCTGCTCAGGGAAGGGAAAGAAGGAGAAAAGGAATGAACACAGGAAAAAAGATCTCAGTTTTGAGGAATTCTTTTAAGAAGTTGTGGGAGAGGATTGGGAACAACTAAGAAGTTAAGAGCCTGAGAGAAATGTGAGGTTTTAAAAAAGGAAGCACCACAGCACCATGCTGGGAAATAAACTGCTTTACTTGATTTATCTGAACTGTGTTTCTCAAACCCAACTTGCACAGACACTAGGCCACTGCTGGCCCTCAGACATTTTCAGATTAAACTTACTCATTCATCCATTCAAAAACGTTTACTGCATTATTATGTTCCAACTCTATGCTAAGCAAGGGGGATAGATTAATAAACACAATACCTGTCCCCAGGATGCTCACTTTTTGGAGACAGATACAGAAATAATGTAGATGTTGTGATACTACATGAGCATGGAGAAAACCCAGAGCCAGGCAGGGGTTCATAAACAGGAAGGGCAGTGACAGTGGAAGGTCGGCTCTAGATCCTTCTTCCTCAGCCACCAAAGGGCTGCTCACCTTCAGGCAGAGATGTCTGGATAAGCACTTCAGAACTTGGGCCATGCTGGTTGTGGCCCATTCCCGCTCGTGGTCTTTGACCGACTGTAACGAGGGACACACGTGCTGCAAAACATAGGGAGGCTACATGGTTTACCAGGAAGACTTGGGGTAACACCTTTATGTTTTCTGTGAAAGAAAATCTAAGGAGAGAAGATCCAGATTACTTCCATGACTGAAAATATCTCCCTAAATGGTAAACCAGTTGAATTGGAGATGAAATTGGTAGGAAGACAAGCAAGACCCAAGGACCTAAGCCAGGGATGGTGATCCTTTCAGAGCTCTCGCTGCTGGTAATACAGAGGCAGCTGCAACACGCGTGCGATAGGTTCGCCACCACTTACCTAGGTGGCCAGGAGGTCTGTATTCCACCAAGGCTGATTTTCTACATTTATTTTCTTTTTTTTTTCCGTACTGGGGATTGAACTCACGACCTCGCTTTGCCAAGCAGGCACTTACACTGCTGAGCTAAGCCCCCGTCCCTTCATTTCAATTGTTTAATTATTATATTCTTCTGTATGTTTTTAACCCTTTCAAATCTGCTTTGAAAAAAAGAAAATGATGTGCTTTTAAAGAACTTTTGGGCCAGGTGTTGTGGTGTACACCTGTAATCCCAGCACCCCTGGAGGTTGAGGCACGAAGACTGCTGCAAGTTTGAGGCCAGCCTGGGCTATACGGTGACTTGAAGGCCAGACTAAACTGCATAGTGAAATCCTGTCTGAAAAAAAGAGAACTTGGGGATGGAGAAACTATATCTCCCTCAACAATTAGACAGACTCACAGAAAACATGACACCCATAAGGAGAAGCTTATGAAGCAGGTAGCTTCTCAGGTGGAAGAAATGGCTGGAAGTAAGCTGTCAAGCCCGGACAGTATAAAGTACAACATGGATGAAGGAGAGACACCCAGGCTAGCTGGGTGTTAATGTACAAATGGAAAAGGAATGATAAATAATGCCAAGGTTCGTTATAGGCAGGATATCCAAGCCATACTTCAGAGCATATGGTTAATAACAGCTCAAAGGGTTATCCCTTTCTGGTATATCTTCATCTTTGAAAGGTGCACGAAGCCAGACACAGTAATACATGCCTGTAATTCCAGCACTTGGGGAGGAAGAGTCAGGAGATAAAAAGTTCAAGCCCCGCTTAGACCACCTGGTAATTTGTCAAGACCATGTTTCAAACGTTAAAAAAAAAAAAAGCTGGGGATGCAAGTCAGTCTATGCAAAGGTCCTGAGTTCAATCCCCAGTACCTGGGCAGGGTGGTTGGGGAGGCAAAAAAGCAATGTGCTGGAGCTATAAAGAATGCATGCCAAGGAGCAAATCCCTGTTGAGGGAAGGGCATAAACTGTAATAGCTACAGTTGGGGGCAGAAAGTCATTTGTGACCTCTGAGTCCAACTTGGCAGGAAGCTGCCTGTTTATTAACTCATAAGGGTTATTCCCTAGTCACTCACTAAAACCTTTCCTCCTCCCCTTCTTCCTCTTCCCTTTTCCTTCCCCTTTCACCTTCTTTTTTGTGGTACTGGGGATTGAATCCAGGGCCTTCACACTGAGCTACATTGCATCCCCCTTTTAAAAAAAAATTTTTTGGGGGTCTTTCTCCTTTTTATCAGTACCAGGGATCGAACTCACGACTGCCTGCTTGCAAGGTAGGAGCTTATGCCCCAGCCCCTGCTTTTTAAAATTTTGAGACTTAAATTGCCCAAGATGGACTCACAATTTGCAGTCTGACTTCCAGAGTGCTGGCTGGTATTACAGGTGTGTGCCTTAGGCTCAGCTGACTGAAACCAAAGTACTATGCAGAAGGGAATAATAATGTAAAGAATAATAATGCAATCATTTGATCTATTTATTGGAGGCCATTTATTTAATACTAAGAGTAATTAGTATCTCCAACTAAAGCTGAAGACATAAGACTCTAAGAAAGCACATTCCATGCAGATTTTATTTTCTTAATTAATTTCTATTTTAAGAAAAATAAAACCCAACAATACAAAACAGAATAAAGCTAATCAAAACAAAACAGTGGAAGTGATACATAACTTCAAAACAGGACAACAGATCATCAACAATGGCTGCCATAATATATCTTGTTATCTTCACAATAGTTGTTCATTTCCTCAGACATAACACAAGGAATAAGACAAAACAGAATAAAACCAATCAAAACCGAGCACCAAATAAAACAATACAATAAATCAGGACAGAAAAAGTGAAAATAATGTTGGATTTCAAAAATAAGACAGAAGGAATGCATTTGCCATATTGCATTCTGTCATTCTCCTAATACATGCTTAGACTACTGACTAATGCAAAGTCAATCAAACAATACCAGCATTTAGTTGTTTTTGTACCTTGGTTTCTATCAACTCAGCCTGTCCTACAAAACAGCCAATTGATGGGGGAGGCATAGAAGAGGGTTGGGGGGATGGCTCGATTCTCAGCCCATGCCAGTTGACTCACGGGAAAGGCAATCTGGCATCTCTCTTTCTGGGCCCTGCCTGGTTTGCATGGCTTATGGGAACTAGCATGGCCTCGGCTAACTCATGGGAACAGTGGACTGCTCTTAATTTATTTTTTGAGACAAAGTTTCATAATGTAGGTTACTCTGGCCTTGAACTCACTGTCTCCTGCCTCAGCCTCCCAATGGCTGGGATTACAGGCACAGGTCCATGCAGATTTTATAGCAGAAAGACTTGTGACGAATGCATAGCAGTCAGGATGTGAGCCTAAAGTCTCTGACTCAGAGCCTATAGATGATACTCTCAGCTGTTTTAATTGCCTCCTGCAACTTAATCCTTCCACATTTTCTTCTTCCACTCTCACCAATGACTAGAAATAGCTTCCCCTTCTTCCCTGAAATTTTGTTTACCTTAAAAATGGCATCAAATTTTTCCAAATGTGGGTCTTTTACCACGAAACTCTGGAGCATCTCAGAGAATGCCTGGAACGTCTGCCTGTAGAGACACTGAAAAGGCACAGATCAGCAACGCCCCAGTCTACGAAGTTTCTCAAGATTTCATGTTTAAGGCTCTTCGCTTTAAGACTTTACTCAAAGCTGCAGAACCACCACCAAAGAATCTATAGACAGCACATTGCTTGAGGTGAACATCTTCATTTCCAATGGACACCTAAGCATTACTAGGGTGATGGTTAACTGACTCTAACTACCCCTGGGGAACTATGTAAGGGATATAATTCTTTTAGGGGCTGGGGATTTAGCTCAGCAGCATAAGCGCCTGCCTTGCAAACAGGCAGTTGTAAGTTCAATCCTTGGTACCGATACAAAAAAACAAAAGATATAGTTCTTTTAAAAAGTTGAGTTGTGGCTCTGACATCATGAAGCAGAAAGGAGTAAGTCTTTTTTTTTTTTTTTTTTTTTTGTCTTTTTGAGACAGGGTCTCGCTATGCAGTTCAGGCTGGCCTTGAGCTCACTTTGTAGCCCAGGCTGGTTTCAAACTCACAATGATCCTCCTGCCTCAGCCTCCCGAGTACTGGGATTATAGGCGTGAACCACCACGCCTGGCTGAGTCAGTCTTTTTTACTAATTGCTTCAGCAGCCACAGAATAAAATCAGGGTCTCTGAACTTATTCTTACTCTGCTTGAAAGCTTTCTTCTTCTCCTTCAACTCTCTCTCCACCAGAAAGGCTTTCCTAGACTGCCTGTGGAGGACCTGGTGCCTCCCAGTTGCAGTACACTCTTTCCTCCCTCCCTGCTTTTCTTTCCATTTTTTATTTATTTATTTTTTGCAGTGAAGGTTTGAAATCCTGGTTTTACTTTCTTCATAACACTTACCACTAATTACTAGTGGACATATTTATTTATCAGTGGTTTCTCTCTGCATATGAATGTAAGTTCCAGAAACAAGAGTAAGTATTTCTGTATTCCTAGTGCCCATCACAATACTTAGCACATAGTGGCCCTTAATGTCTGTAAAATCTCTGAATACTTTCCATCTTATTTTAAAGTCAAAGTAAAAAAAAAGGGAGTAAAGGGAAAAAGAAAGAACACAAAATTTAGATTTTTTTTTTAAATTTAGGTTTTTATCTAATTTAACCACTTATTTACCAGATCTGACTTAAATGGCTTGAAAAATGAAATGCTCTCAAAAGGCTAAGATTGGCTAACTCTGTGGCTGGGAAGTTACTTAAGCAAAGTGTGAGTTACCTCTGGGTTGGAGGGCCTGCTTGCCATGGTTTCCTCCAGCCGGGTAAGACTTCTGACAGAGGGCAGACTGACGATTCTTTTGATAACAAGACTGAACAACTCAGCATGATCTTCAGAGCCAAACAGCAAATGGACATCTTGATAACTAAGAAAAGACAATTTGGAGAAAGAGTTTTATTTGGTAATAAGTAAGGACCAAAGTAACTATCAAAGCAAGGTAATATTGATTGCTCTGTTACTCTGATGGAAAACATAAACAGCATGGCTTGTTAGTTTAGATAAATCTCACAAAAGGTTAGTGCTGAAGAATTTCCTCCTAAGAGGTCACCGAGGTGGGAGGGAAGTTTTCTCCAGTTCATCCACAGGGAAAAACCTGTTGTAGTCTAATGCAGTTAGCCACAATTTTCCAAGATGTGTTTTGCTGAATGTTGATTTGGGGAATAGTGAGTTGAGTTCAATCAAGTTAAAAACTTTTCAACTCCAGAAGTGGTTGTGCATGCCTATAATTTTAGCACTCAGGAGACTGATGCAGGAGGATCACTTGAAAGTTTGAGGCCAGTCTGGACTACATAGTGAGTTTAAGGCCTGAAATACATAACAAGATCCTGTTTTTAAAATCCAAAAACAAAACAACAACTCCCCCTCACAAAAAAAAGGCCATTGTTTAACTAAGGGACATCTGGGTACTTTTAATCAGTGTAATTACTGTGGTACAAGTCTCCAAGAGCATAAAAGAGCAGGCATTCCTTACAAAGTACTTAGACCTTAGCATGTGTGGGAATCACACTCTTCACTGAATATACTTTGGACAAATCTGAACTCCAAAGAGGTTCCAACGAGGACTTTCAGACCTGGATGGTAGCATATGTAAAATCAAAGTACTTACACAAACACATGCATTTGGCGTCTTTCCGTTTCTCTAAATAGTTTTCAAAAGCTAAATAGTTTTCAAAAGTTACACTATGGAACATGTCAGTTGGCTTTGGCATTGGCCTGAGTGAGGAACCAGGATGAATGTGTAAGGAGCATGTGGTTGTCACCTGAAGACAGTGATGGTGGCAAAGACCTCCTGGAGCACAGGGCTGAGCAGGGAATCCAGGAGCTCCTCTTGTACCAGTACCTACAGTGAGAGGGAATGAACTTTTAGGGAGTTGAAATGCACCAACTCATGAAGCCTGGGATGCTCAGACGTGGATGGCCTGCAAGAACAAGAGCAGCTCCCTGAGGATCACAGCAGGACACTGGAGGAGCCTGCAGTGTATTTTCTGGAACCAGAACCTGGGGCCTGGCTCTATCTTTTGCTAAATGTCTAAGTTGACTCAGGTTATCTCCCTGTACTTCTGTTTTCTTACCAGTAAAATGAAATAACAGTAACCTCTCACCTTTGTACTGGTAGTTGTGAGTGCTGAGCTAATTCATGATGCCTAGTATCCCTCAGTGATTGCTAGTGTCTATTACTAATATTTTTTATTACCAGTGATTGTGTCTAGTGTAGGCATTCTTACTCCTCTTTCTACTAAAGCAGTCATCCCTACTATCATGCCTATGATCACTCTAGGTTGTTTGTTATAGAAAGGAAACAACTTTCTAGCTTATAAATTGGTACAGACAGCAGCCGTGCTGTGTTAGAAAAATCTACAGAGTGAAAGCAAGGGTACAGTAGAATTTTGGGGTTAGAGGCTCCTTGGGTTTGAGAAGGGCTTTACCACTCCCTTACCATGTGGCCCTGGGTACATCATTCAACCTCCCTGAGACTAACTTCCTTATCTGTTTTGGGGAATGAGACTTCTCAGGGAGCTGAGTTCAGGAGCTGCTGTAAACAGGCATGTAAATGTAGTGGCAAATCTACTGGATTGTCTACCCTGCCTCTGTGAGAGTAATCTCAGCTCACTGAAATGGGCACTTGTGATGGTTAACTGGTTGAGTTAAACTTAGGTAAGTAAAACCTAACTGAATTGGCTCAGCATAGTTCTGGACTCATCTTAGGAAGGGTTGTCACAAGAACAGTATAAAAGGGCACGAAGAAGGGTTGGTTCTGGGTTCTTTGCAGCAGCTCCAGTCTTGCTTTCACCTTGTATGCTGTCTCCAGGCTTCTAGCGCAGACTCTTCAGTATCTAGCACCAAAAGCCTTCCTACGCAGACCCTCGGGGTTGCTAATGCAGATGCACATAGACACCAGACTGAGCTCTAGGCCTTCATCCGGATTCTTTGGATCCCCAGTGTGCACACAGACCTTTTGTAACCTTCCACACCCAATTCTGTGGACAGCTATTGTAAGCCAATCTTATAAATCCTTACATATTTGTATATCTTACATTAAATCTGTTTCTCTAGTAAGCACTGACCCGTACAGCACCTCACAGCCATGTTTCTGCTGTCATTCTGTTCTACTTGCCACAGGGCATCTGCCCAGGTATAGACACTAAGGTCAATTAGATTTTCCCTCAGGAATCTGGGATTGGAACTAAGGGCACCAATTGGAAAAACAAAGTTTTCCCTAGCATGTGTGGAAGCAGAAGTTTCCTATTGTCTGGATTCATTCCTTTCCCTGGGCATGCTGTTCCTCCTGTCATGGGGCTCCAGGGAACACTGATATTCCTTAGAACCAATCTCGTCTTTTGTGTTTCAGCTGCCTCCAGTGTACTCCTCTTCCCAGAAAAGATCTCACCAGGAACTTAGGGAAACACTCAATAAATAGTATCAGGTTTCCTTCCCAAGCTTTTCTCTCTTTCCACTCAAGTCTTGCTGGTGGCCTGCTGCTGTTATTTCTTTAAGGTGCTTATTTATTGTTATGGCTTTATAGCCTAGAACAAACAAAACATGGCTCTGTCTTCTGCCTTGGCCACTTCCAGGGGACTCAGTACTGCCACTAACATCAGAACCAGTACCGAGCATTATTCTCCCACTGCCTAAGGACACACCTTTCCAGCCTTCAATGTGAATGGTCCCTGTAAGGATCCATTAAGACATACTCAGCCTGTCTGCAGGCAGAGGCATTATTCTCAGCTCAGCACCAGCACTCCTGGCCAACAAGGATGTTGTGATAAAAGAGATAAGGTGGAACACAGAAGCTTGCAAGCACCCAAGAAATCACATCAGATGCCTCAAGGACTTTGTCCACTGAGACACAAAATATCCAAAGAACTTTGATCACTGAAGTTTACTAAGATCTTCCCACCTAACAAAACTTACCTTCAAACCACATTATAAAAAAAGGGCCCACTTCTTTTTGCTCCCTACAGACAGCCTTTTCGCCTTCTGTTTGCTTGCATAAGGAATTCCATGCCATGTTGCCTTTACACAAGCCTGCTGGTCTCAGCTGCTTCTGCTTTGCACCGTTCCTTACAGTGCCTTCCCAGACCTCGTAAAAAAGATGATTTATGACTTCTCTCATGTCCACTCCTCATATCCCATCAATTCTACCAGTTTCTGTGATTCTCTTTTCCTGCAACCATAGGCCTCACATTCACTGCCTTTAAGCTGAAATCCCAGGTCTGCAATCCCCTCTGACTTCAATCCACTTGGTGTACTTCTGTCAGAATGACCTTTTGTTTTCTCTCAATCAGTTAGACATTAGAAGTTTGTTTGTTCATGGTTATGGCTAGCCACTACATGGGGTCACAAGTGCCAAGCTATTTTTGGCTTGTGAAGTACGTGTACAGTAGCAGCTGTTAAGAGTGATTGCCGAGATCGCAGCAATCACCTCTTCTCTCTGCAGGGGCAACAGCAGACAGGCAAGGAAGCCAGCAGCCATAGGATTCCCACGGGGTGCTTTTGCAGACACAACTGAGTGGTGTAGGTGGAGAACAGGCCCTGTCTGGGTGAAGGGAACTCTTTCTTCAATTTAATAACTACTTATCAGTCAGATCAGCCCCACCTCGTTTGAGAAAAAACTCGTTTGAGAAAAAACTGCTCATATTTCTGGAGTACACAAGGAATGTCAGAATCAGAACTTCAGAGAAACTGAATGGATCATTTCATAGATGAGAAAAACTAAAACACAATAAGTATATACTGAAGACAATCATTTCCTCTGTAAAGTCTGCATCCTTGACATGGAATTGACCATTCATCCCTCTGTGTCCTCAATATACCAATTTGAACTTTCTTTATAGTTCCTGTGACACTGGATTATACCCAGCTTGGCTGCAAGGCCAGGAATTAGTCTTTTTTGAGACGGGGTCTCGCTATGCAGTTAAGGCAGGCCTTGAGCTCACTTTGTAGCCCAGCCTGGTCTCGAACTCGCAATGATCCTCCCACCTCAGCTTCCCGAGTGCTGGGATTACAGGCATGATCCACCACGCCTGGCTAGTCTTTTCGTCTTTTCAGCCTTGGTTCTCGTGACAATGCCTGAACTGTCAGGCACTTCTTAAGGGAATAAATAGATGAGTTAATGGCAGTGTTGCTTGTAAAGTACTTGTGAAGTTTGTACTAAGAGTAAGTACAAACAGAACAAAATATGATAATTATAATAGTACAATCATATTTCTCAAATGCATAATAAGCATTAAGGTCATATGTCTTGGTTACTTTCCTCTTGCTTCTGAGACAAAATATCTGATACCCAAAGTTAATAGGAGAAAGGTTTATTTAGCTGATAGTTTATAAAGGTTTCAGTCCACAATTGGTTGGCTCCAAGGCAAGGTGACATATGGCAGAGGGACAGCAGTTCATGGTGGGCAAAAGGTAGCAAAGCAGGCAGGAGGGCCAGGCAAACCTCTTTCTGTCCTTTAGATTGTACCGAGGCAGGGTACTGGGTTAGGATGGTACCAAACTAACCAGTGGACTCATTTAGTAATCACCCATCCTGGCTTGCACCATGAATCAATCACACACTCTAGATTCAACCACCTCTGGAAAAGCCCCAAATATGACTGAACGAGGCTTTCGGGGGACATCTAGACACAAGCCATAATACTATGTTCCATGACTTGCATTTATTTTTAATTTAATGCTCATGATAGTTCTATGAAACAAATAGCTATTCTTATTTTATAGATGAGAAAACCAAGGCATCAGGAAGTTAAGTAATTTCCTAAGGTAACACAGCTATAAAGTGGTAAAGCTAAACTTGAACCCAGGCATTTGATTAGATTCTTCCCTCAAACTACTGTTGAAGTTAAGAAGGGAACATAGACCTTACTAAGCAATTTAACTAATGCTATTTCTTTTCTTTTTTATTACTCTTTTACCTGGCTTTTAAGGGTGATTATATTTGTGGGGGATTCCTGAGCACTTCCTCTCCATTCAGAGAAGATGATAGGAGAAGAGTTTAAAGGAGTTGATAACATGGGTAAAACTACTACAAACTTATTGACAGGTCACTGAGTTTGTGAGGTCTTAATCATTTGTGATGAGATCACAATACTTACATTTAGGATGTGCACTATGTCTGCTAGATGGCTATGAATGAATGATTCTGTGGTTTCATCACAACACAAAGTTTCACCGAGAGAAGACAAAGATCTTAGGAATGTCAGCTTTGCAGGTTCATCCTGAATTTGTAGAAAAATGATAAAATACGATTATATGTTATAATCTTATTTGGTAATGTAAAAAACAAGGTCTGTTCTATCAAATATCAAAGGAGATAGACAGGGGTGCCTCCATCTTAAATTTCAATTTACCTTGTGCTGCTCCCCACCCTCTACCCCTCACTTCAGAGTTACTGAAAATGTTTGCTCAGCTTAGGCTCTAGGAACACAGGCCAACTATCAAAGATACCTTTTTTTTTTTAATCATCGGTACCAGGGATTGAACTCACGACTGCCTGCTTGCAAGGCAGGTGCTTATGCCGCTGAGCTAAATCCTCAGCCCCCTCCAAATATCTTAACAACTGAGAACTTTTGGTCCCCATAAACCCCACCCTCCCCTCCCTGAGCAATCCTGCCCACCAATCCTTCAGGCTCTTCTCTTGTGTCATTGAAACTAGCCAACCAGGAGAGATTGTGAACCTTCAAACCAGCCAATGGGGAGGTCAGCTGCTTCTCATTCTTAGGAAATAAAAAGAGCTCACAGTTGACTCCCTGAGAATCTGCTACCTCATGGTGTGCTGGAGCCCCTTTTCAGAGATTGTTGGTGTCTGAGGGTTTTATCATCTGCACCAGACAAACTTGAGTCTGAGGGCGTATTCCTAACAGTAGTTGTAAGAACCTTTGAAAAGTATCTTGGGATATTTCAAACATGTGGTATCTGATTTGATTCATTAGCAGTCTTTTGTTATAAGGAATGAAAGATTACAGAGGGATTTCAGTAAAATTGCTCATCTCCAGGTACTGCCTTGGTTTCCAGAGCTTCCCCTTTTGGCTAGATTACTAAACACTCCATGGCAACTTTCACCCACCTCCAGTCCTTTCTTCCTCCTTCCCTGTCCTTTGTCCTTTGTCGGGTGCTGCCAAATTAAGCTTCTAAAAGGTGACCACTGATACTGTTCCTTCTAGTTATTATTATTATTTTTTTTGGTACTGGGAATCAAACTCACGACCTCATGCTTGCCAGGCACTGTGCCACTGAGCTATATCACCAGGCCCTAGTTCTCTTTAATTTTGGTACCAGGGATAGAACTCATAACCTTGCATTTGCCAGGCAGGTGCTGTGCCACTGAGCTAAATCCCCGGCCCTCCTAGTTCTCTTAATATTATTAGAACTTCATCATTTTAAGTCCTTAAAAAGTTTCCTATTAAGGGGCTGGGGATTTAGCTCAGCGGCACAAGCACTTGCTTTGCAAGCAGGCAGTCGTGAGTTCGATCCCCGGTACTAATAAAAATGAAAAAGACAAAAAAAAAAAAAATTGCTCTTATGAAGGACCAGGTCAAGCAGGCTACCACATAGCAGGATGACAGATGTTAAATTATATTTGTTATCCCAGCAGGGAGGGAGGGTAAGGCAAGAGCATCAGAAGTTCAAGTATCATCTGGGCAACTGAGTGAGACCCTGTGTCAAAATAAAAAGGGATTGGGATATAGCTTAGTGGTAGAATACCACTGAGTTCCCTATCTACACACACACACACACACACACACACACACACACACACACACACACAGATAAAGCTTTAACTAGACTTCTTACTAGGTTTCTGAGTGCTGCAGTGTCCTTGTAGAGGTGATTTATAGGTTCTTTCTGTCCTGAGCAAAGAACTGATCAAGCACAAAATGTAGCGAGATTTCAAATTAGTTGGTCAAGACAAGCACCAAAGGTAGTGAGTGAGGTTTTACCTTTACTAAAGGTAGAAAAAGCAATGTGCTCTGCAGAGCAAGTTTGGGCCAACTAAAAGAAAATAAGCATTCTACAGGATGAGAGAGGACCATTGTGCAAGAGAGAACATAATGGCCCAGAACTCAATGCTAACTGTCTTTTTTCTATCTCCTTCTCCTCAGGTTGATGTTAAGTCTAGGCAATCCTGTTAAAAACCTGCTCCAGTTCTTACAAGAAGAACTGAAGACAGCACTCTCTGGTTCTACACACAGCACTTTGGGATCTGATCTATAGTTGTATCCTGGGACTTTGCAATTGACAGGTCATGCCTGCTCCCCATCAGTTTACAATATCCTCATCTCCTGCCCCATAAGGGATGATCAAAAAGTACAGTCAACATTTTAATAATTTATGTAATCCCAGCTGTTTGGAAGTTGAAGAAGAGAATCACTAGTTCAAGACCAACCTGGGAAACTTAGAAAGATCCTGTCTCAAATCTTAAACAAAAAGGAAGAATATTAGGGTCTATGGCTAATAATGGGGTACTGTTAAGAGTTACATTTGGAATTCATTTCCTTATGTACTCTATACATTTTAGTTGTTCTTAGGCTGTAGATCAAAATTCTCATGTTGATTTTCAAAGCTCAGGAATTATCTCTTCAGCCTCATCTTGTACCACGGTTCCTTTTTGTCACTCTGACTTAAACATATCAGGTTATTTTTGAGTTCCTCAGAAAATGCTACGTTTCTTTCAACCTCAAGTTTGTTAAACATATCATTTTCTGTTTCTGCTCTCTTTCACTTTTTAACTTTTAGTTTTTCCTATGCTTTGCTCAGATCTGATCAGTTTGTGGAGGTTTTAGTCCATAATTGGCTGGCTCCCAGGCAGGTGGCACATGGCAGAGGGCAACAACAGATCATGGCCATGGAAGACAGCAAAAACAACAAGAGCCAAAAAGAGGAGCTCAGACCTGAGCAAAGCATAGGCTTACTTCCTCAGAGGCACCTTTCCTTACCCTCAGATCAAGATAAGTTCTGTTGGGCTGGGGATTTAGCTCAGCGGCATAAGCACCTGCCTTGCAAGCAGGTGGTCGTGAGTTCGATCCCTAGTACTGATAAAAAGGAAAAAGACAAAAAAAAAAAATGTAGTAAGATAAGTTCTGTTACATGCACTCACAGGATATGTAAACAAATGAATGGAGGTTTTACCTAGACAGTGGGATGTTGTGCAGCCCATAAGTAGAAAAACTGAAATCTTTAATTATGAATCTAAATTTTTCCCTACTGTTATATATGCTGGGTTTTCCTTATATTAATTACAGACTGTACAGAGAGAAAAACATCCTGAAAGTGTATATATAAACACATACCAAATGTTAATAAGTCTCAGGAGAGTGGGGTTAGGGAAGATTAATTTTTAAGTTTCATTATGGTCTTGTTTTCATATGAATTTAATGATTTTATAAGTGTAAATTAGAAATATATACATATAAATTATACATATAAAATATAAAATTAAAAAGACAAGTAAATTTATGTCAAAATTTTGTATAATAAAGCAATAATAAATATTCAAAACACTTGTTAATAGAGAAATAAGTTAGATAACTCATAAAGATCAGACCTTTCATACCTTTAGCTTACCACTAAACACCTCCTGGATTGACTGGATTAGTTTCTCAACACTGGTTTCACAGAGAGGTTCCTGGGGGCTGAAATTTCTGAGGCTATCTGTAAAGGACTCCTGAAGGATTTCAGGAAGATCGGAGGCATCCAGGTCTAATACTGAAAGAAAGACATCAGATGATACCTCTGTAGCATATAAAGTAATAAGGTTTAGTGTTGAGAACCGCTGGATATCAGAGAAGGCAGTTATATGGCCCTGACTGAGTCCCTTTCCTCCTTCAAGTCTCATTTTCTCAATTACAGATTCAGTGTTCACAAAGGTTTTCCTAAGCTATAAGGCTTTCTGGGACTAAGTTGTAGTTGAGTTTGAATCCTAGTTCTACTATTAGTCACATGACCATCAACAAATTAGTTTGCCTTCTAGAATTTAGTTTTTTCATTTGAAAAAAGGAGCTATTATAAGGATTAAATGAGGCAATATGTGCAAAGTATAGATCTTAGTATCTGACACATAGTAAGCATTTTGTGACAGGTTTGTGTTTGCTTGTTTTGTTTTGTGTTTGGTGCTGGGGATTGAACTCAAGGGCTTGCATCTGCTAAGCCAGCACTCTACCACTGAGCTACCCAGTCCAGAACCAACATTATTACTCAAACTCTCAAAGTCCAGCCATTTGTGGATAACTGTTTCTTACACTGGATCAGGCTGAAGTGAGTGCTGGAGGCATTTCCTTTTTGAACTGGGAAATACTGTACTTTGATCAAGGGTTTGGGCTCCGGAGTTGGTCTGCTTAGGTTTGGAAACTGCCTGGGTGTCTTTTTAGCATTCTGACCTGTGTGACATTAGTTTCTCTTGGTCTCCTTCTTCATTCCCAAAATAAGAGTGATAAAAGAAACTACAGAGCTAACAACCAGGAGTTATCAGCAAATAGAATTCCTTTTCTCCATGAGTGACAATGATTACAATGACATTTGTAATCATCTTAGTGTCATTATAGCCTTACTGCCTGTATTTTCCAACATAAAATCTCTCCTTCATATTGAGTCTTACTTTTTCCCCTTAAATACATCTATCATCTTAAGTTTTCAACGAGGCTACTTTCGGTCTCCTGAACGCCTCTTCTGCATATGCTTCACACTTCCTACTACATTCTTATCGTCTACTAATTGAAACCATGTTCAATTCATGCCCAATCTTTGTATAGGCTATTTCTTTCACATGTATTTTCTCCTTTCTTCCCCCACTTCTCCTTAACTCTTTCTGCTAGGCTAACTTCTTCCTGTATATTCATCCTGGATCTTTTATTTTCCTGTGTTGGTTGTGTCCTCCCAAGCACAAACAAACCTCTTTATATCCACTCTGAACCCCCACTCTCCACCATACAGATTACACTGAGATCCAATCGCCCATTTATCTGCAAAAGTGTGCTCTCTCGATTTGTTCACAGCTGTTCTCCACAACTAGACCAGGCTGAGAGAGCTTTAAAAAATATTTACTGAGTGAACGCTTGAATGAATGTAGTTCCTCAAACACATCGAAATCTTTCTTGGCTCATCTACATTTTGTGCCATTTATCTAGAATGTTCTTCCCTCTACCTCTCATGAGTCGCAGTTTCTTATCTCTTTGAAGCCTCCTTTAGATTTAAGTAGCATCCCCTATAGGTATTTAACTGACAACCATAGTTTAGCGTAGATTCTCTTCTTCTTTAGTTTTTTTCTGAGCCTCTTGTTAAACTCTCCCATAGTGTTTACCACAACTTATAATTACTTAAGTTACCATTTATTTACTTTTTTTGGTGTCTTTTTCTGCACTGTCATGTCAGGTCCATGAGGACAGAACCAATTCAATTGTATGCAACATGGTATGCTTGTACCTGGTACTCAATGAACGGTTGTAGAAGAAATGCGAGATGGTTATTCCGCAGGTCAATCCAGATGCCACTTTTTGCATAAAGTATTCCCACTCTATGTCAACCACACTTACCTTTCCCTTCTCAGAATCCCTCTAAAGTACATATCCAGCTGGAGATTCTGTGAGATCATTTGTTTGAAGACTTGGTCTAGTTTACTGTATGCCTAGAATAGTGTATCTTATCTTATTTTGCCAACCACTTTCTGAGATCTCAAAGTCAAGGATCAAATCTATTGTAAATGGCTTGTCATCCAGCAAGTATTCAAACAATATCCTTTGATCTGATTTAAAAAGAAATGACTGGGGATATAATCAACTGGTAGAGTGCTTGTCTAGTATGTGTATGGTGTTGGATTTGATTCCCAGCACTGTAAAAGAAAAAGGATTTCCTATCCCCTGCGACATCTCTTTCTTAAAAAATAAATTTCTTTTCTTACCTGTAAGTTCACTATCACTTGAGTCTTTTTTAATATCCTCTAAATTGCTCAATTCCAAGTCCACACTTCCAAAATCATCAGAAGCACAGGGAATCACTACTTCTTCTTGATCACAGATCCTAGATATAAAGGGATTTTTATCAATTAGTTTTTCAGAACTGCTTTGGTCTCATTATTCAATTGAAAGCCTAAATGTTCCCTTCTCAGACAGACATTTTTGATCATCAGTCTCTCTTTACCTCAGCCTACAGTTGTTCTTTTTTTGTCAAAGCATTTAACTATCAATAACAATTACCTTATTCATTTGTGTTCATTTGTTTGACTGTTTTTTATCAGACTGTAAATTCCACTAAAGGAAAAACTTTGCTGCATGGCCCTCATCATATCCCCAGAACCTACAAATTGTCAGTCTCATGATGAATGAATGGATCAGTGAGAAATATTAAGCTGTTGCTAGAAATAGGCTGAGGAGAACAAACCCCTTCTAATCCAATTTAAATCTCCTTACCCTTAACTACTTTTTCTTCTTTCCATACCATATAAAACTTTTTTTTTTGTCTTTTCGTTTTTATCGGTACCAGAGATCGAACTCACAACTGCCTGCTTGCAAGGTAGGCGCTTATGCCGCTGAGCTAAATCCCCAGCCCCCCACATAATACTTTTTAACATGTTATTTATTTACTTCTTGGTGTTGGGGATCAAACCCAGGACCTGGTACACGCTAATCATAAGTCTACCATGGAGCTACACACCCAGCCCAATTTGGTTACTTATGATGTTCACTGCTTATCTGCTATTTCCTCCCATTGTAAGCTCCATGAGGGCAAAGATCTTTGGTTGCTTTCACTGTATCCCAAAAGCCTAGAATCGTGCCTAATATGTAATAATGCTCAATAAAATTGGTACAGTGATTCAGTAAATGTACATTTATTGGATGTTTTGATTAATAAATTAAAAAAGCAACTTGCCAAATAGTTTCATATGATCCAACCTTAAAAGGACAAAATAGAATTTTTGCAAAAGTGATAAGTATGGGGCTGGGGATTTAGCTCAGCGGCATAAGCGCCTGCCTTGCAAGCAGGCAGTCCTGAGTTCGATCCCTGGTACCGATAAAAAGGAAAAAGACCAAAAAAAAAAAAAAAGAAAAAAAAAGTGATAAGTATGGACGTACATATGTATGCATACATACACACACAAATGTTGGAACATGGTAGAAAAACATGGAATTAAAACCAAACACTCTTGGAATGGAATTGTTGGAGAGAAAATTTAGTTTTTCTACTTTCATATTGCTTAAAATTTTTAATGTTGGCATGAATATTAAATGTTGACAAAGATGTAAAACAAAATAAATCATACATTGCAATTGCAACTAGAAGTATAAATTGATAATATCATTTAGAAGTAATTTTCTTTTCTTTTTTGTTTTTTGCGGTACTGGGGATTGAACTCATGACCTCGTGCTTGCCAGGCAGGCATTTATGCCACTGAGCTAAATCCCCAGCCCTAGAAATAATTTTCATTGTCTAGTAAAGTTGAAGGTATCCATACACTTAGTTTTACTATTCTACTCCTAGAAGTGTATTCTAGTGAAACTGCTAGATATATACCTGGACTATGTATAAGAAGGTTCATAGCATTAGTTATTATGGGAAAAACTGGAGCCATCTTATGGTCCTTCAATGGCAAAACAGATAAAATGAAGAGTTCTAGATATACATAACAAAGTAGACAAAATTTACAATGATGAGAGAAGAAAGTCATGGGAAAATAACATAGTAAATTTCACTTACAAGAAGCATGCAAAACTGGGGCTGGAGATTTAGCTCAGCGGCATAAACGCCTACCTTGCAAGCAGGCAGTCGTGAGTTTAATCCCTGGTACCGATAAAAAAGAAAAAGACAAAAAAAAAAAAGCATGCAAAACTAAAAAAATACTTCTTGGAGTTACAAGCAAACATGGAAAACCATGAAAAAAAGCAAAGAAATAGTGTAATCTGCAAGATGGGCATATTAGATATGTGGATAGGAAGGCAGGGGATGGAATGGTTAGGTTCAGAAGGCTTCAAAGTTATGATTATGGTGTGTATGTGTGTTTGTGGCACTGGCTATTAAACCCAGGGCCTTAGCATTGAGTTATATCCCCAGTCCTTTATTTTTTATTTTGGTTGTAGATCTAAGTCACCAAATTTCCCAGGCTGGGCTTGAACTTGGGATTCCCCTGCCTCACACTCCCAGAGAGCTGGAATTTTAGGAATGGGCCATGTCTCTAGGTTGGTTATGTTCTTCCTTTCACAGGATAGCTGGCGCATGGTCTCCCTATAAAATTATTTTTTTCTTTATGTACTTTTTGATTTTGTTTTTGAGCCAGGATCTCACTATATATTCCAGCATGGACTTGAACTTACTATATAGCTCAGGCGGGCCTCAGATTCATGGCAATCCTTTTGCCTCAGCCTTCCAAATGCTAGGATTACAGGTATGCACCATGATATCTTTAAAAAATTTTTTTATTTTGAAACAGAGTCTAAATTGCCCAGACTGACCTTAAATGTGGGTTCCTCTTGTCTCAGTCCTCTGAGGAGTAGGATGATAAGAATGTGGGTCTGTGCCCAGCTTAAAATTGCTATTTTATGAAGTTGCTAGCTGGGCATAATAGCATATACTGTAATTCTAGCACTCCAGAGACTGAGGCAGGAGGATTGCTGTGAAGGCCAACCTAGGTTACACAGTGGAGTTCAAGGCCAGCCTGAACTACATAGTGAGCCCGTATTTTAAAACACACACACACACACACACACACACACACACGCACACACACACAGCAGCTGCCAATCTATTTTCAAAATGACAATACAATTTAAATTCCCACCACAAGTATGTAAGAGTTCCAGCTGCTCCACATCCTTGCCAATATTTGTTTTGTTTATTTTGGTCTTCTTGAGACAGTGTCTTGTTATGCAATTCAGGCTGGCCTTCAGCTCACTGTGTAGCCCAAGCTGGCCTCAAACTCCTTAGCAATCCTCTTGCCTCAACCTCCTAAAAGCTAAGATTACAGGGGTGCAACACCACGACCAGTTTCTTTGTCAATATTTGATATTTTTAGTCTTTTTTTTTATATTGACTAGTGGATATACAGTGATGTCCCTTTGTGGTCTGATTTGCAAATACACACACACACACACACACACACACACACACACACACTTGCTTGTTATTTTTTGAAACAAGGTCTCTCCATCAGTCCAGGACAATCCCCTACTGTGCTATTTTTTGGCCTTTGTCTCTTGTCTCCTATTTGTGCTTCTGCTTTTATTATTTCAGCCAAAACTGATCATAGCAGCTGTAGCAGTCACAAAAGTCATCCTACCACCACACCCTAACAGATTTGATTTTGCTCACTCCCACAAGGCGGAATGGGGAGATAGTTTAGTGCAATCGCCTGGGTTCAATCCCAAGTACCAATCAATCACATGAATATAGTAACAGTACACACGTCACAGAACGGTGACAAGGGATAGATGAAATAATGTATATAGAGTGCTTAGTACACTGTCGGGCTGTATTGCAAACCCTCAATAATTGGAGCTATTGGTACTGTATGCTTAGAAGAATCTCTTCGGTGTTTGAATCTGCTAAATGTAAAATTTTAGACTCCTCGCAGAATTACTGTAAAGAAACACCGATATGTTTTGCTAATCAAATAAAATTTCATCCTGCAGGTCAATTATTAACAATTGAACTTTTCATCTTTCGAAGAAACTGCCATAATTTTCTTGGGGGGGGGGATTCCTTTGGACTACACAACTCCCCCTTCCCACCGGACCCTTCCGGTCCCTTTAAAATTGGCCGGGCTTCAGAGAGACAGATAAATGACAGAGTGGTCGGCCAATCACCGCACTTAGCCAATCATAGGCGGCCCCGTAGTAGGCCCATCCCAAGGGTTGGTTCAATCGCATCCGGGTAGCATTCAGAGCGGGACCGTTGCGAGTCGGTCTGTTCCAAGTGGGCCGGGGTGGGGGGGAGAGTCAGACCTAGACGCGGAAACCCCGAGACCTTTTACGTGCCAGGACTGGAATCCTCGCCGCGGCTGCTGGAAGCGGGAAGGCCCAGCGTGACTGCGGAGACTGACCTATGATTAGAGCTCATCCCTACAAACGGAGCCTGCCGCGAGTCCCTGGTGTCCCCTCCGGCACGTTCAGAGAGCCACCTTCCTGAGCGGAAGTCAGCCTGCGGACTGGACTCCGGTGGGACCTGCTCGGAGGAATGGCGCCGCCGGGTGAGGAGTTGCGCATGGCTCAACAGAGGAGCTCCGTGGCTGGCCCGTCTTGGGGAGTGGGCTGTGGCCCGTGGGAGGCTAGTTCCGGCCACTCGGGAGCTGGCTAGGCGGGATCTCCTTCCCCTGCGGGGCGGGGGCATGGGCTTGAGTTCTTAGGGGTATCGATGGTCTGACTGAGGGCTGCGAGCTGGTGGGAGTGTCCACTACCCGTGGTGGGGGGGCGGTTTGTGTTGGGGGAGGCGGGGGTTGCAATGTCGAACTACGGGTCCCCCCGAGGCCCAGCCAGGGGGACTGCGGCCGTACTTAACCTAGACCTGGCTTTTCTCATTCATTTGATTCGTGCGGGCAGCCTAGGAGCTGTCCCCGAGCCATTCATCATTTTGTGTGAGCTTTTGACTAATTCTTCTGCTCTTTTTCCGTAACTGAGGCAAGAAAATTGCTCAGCTCTTTCTGAGAGTTTAGGCCATACGTTCTGAAGCCAGACTCTGGGTGCAAATTTAGAATCTGCCACGTATTATGTTCTCCAGTTACTTAACCTCTCTGCACCTCAGTTTCTCATCAGTAAAAAAAGTTAGGCACATTGTTTGTTTTTAGTGTTCTGTATTAAATGAGATAGTCTCCATGCAGACTTTAGAATAGTACGTGCAAGCACGTAAGCTTCACTGCATTGATGGTTATTAAGTGGATCCTGCAGGATGGACTCTCGGGTCTTCATCACAGTTTGGATTTGTGTTCTCGTTATTACCATTGGGCAAATGAAAAGTTCGAATCCTAGAGAAGGGAGGTAGCTTGCCACGGTAACACAGTGATTGGACTTATTGTTTCATTAGTTTAGAAATGGAGGATGATGAAATGGTTTAATTTGGAATTTGGATTCAAGCTGCTTGCAGTTTGATTCTCAAGGAAAGGGCAGTTAACCTACTTATGACCCTCAGTTTCTTTGTGTGAAACACTGAAGATAGCCACTTAACTTGCTAAGTTAAGCCACACATGCTAAGTTCTTAAATTGTAGTTAGGTTATTGCTATAAAAGGTGAGCAGCTGAGGATTCTGTCAGAGTCTATGCTAGGGGAATTTATAGCTGAGAGAATGACACTCATAGTTAGTTACTCACTAGATTGTGATACTTTGGGTATGGTGCCTGTACAGTAGGCATTGGGGATTCATCATTAGTATCTTGACACCTCTTTTAAGTCTATTAGCAATTCTTAAAGGCTTTAACTTTGACTTCTAGCCAGTGACCACCTCTTGCATTTCCCCTCCTGTTGCCCAGGTTCAGACCACCCTTACAATATTTATTTAACTTGGATTGTGGCAGTAGTAGTCTAACTCGTATCCTTCTGTTTTTGCTCCCAGATAGTCTGTTCTCAGGGTTGTCTGTTATCAACTCTGTTAAAATGTTAAGTCAAATTATACCTCTGCTCAGAGCTTTTCAGCAGCTCCCATCTCATTGAGTAAAAGCTAAAATTTTTTCAGCAGCATACTAGGCTCTTGTGATTTGTCTCTGCTTCCTGTCACTTGTCTTTTTTCACCCTTTGCTTATCTCGCTTATGATTTTATTTATTTATTTATTTATTTGTCTTTTTCCTTTTTATTGGTACCAGGGATCGAACTCAAGACTGCCTGCTTGCAAGGCAGGCGCTTATGTCACTGAGCTAAATCCCCAGCCCCTCACTCATGATTTTAAAAATGCCATTAATGCTCCTGACTGAGCCTTTGCACTTGCTTTTGGGATAGTTTCTCCCTAAATACCTACATGACTTGCTCCTTTTTCAGGGCCACACTTAGTATCTATTTCTTCCTTGCACCTTCTTAGAGTTTACTCTATTTAACCAGCAACCCTTATCAGATATCCTTTCTGTGATACATTTTTTTAAATCTTTAAAATAAAAAAAATTTTAAAAGGTTTTAAAAACAGAAACAATCATATTTTATGGTCCTAAGCCCTTTGCCTTTAATAACAAATTTAATTTCAACTAGAATCCCTGAGGAAAACCATTATTACATCTATTTTATAAATAAGAAAACTGAGGCTCAAAGTAGCTTATATATCGCCAATCTTGGAAATAACCCTAGATCTAACTGCACTTTTTTGGAAAATACTCTTGAAAGGATGTCTACAGACATAACTCAGAGAATCATTCTCTCATGAACATTCATGTCATTTAAAACCTTGAGTGTGTAAACTTAAAGAATGTTAAAGGTCCTTTAAAAAACACAGAATAGGCTGGTTATATAGCTCAGTGGCACAGTGCCTGTCTTGAAAGCATGAGGTCCTGAGTTCAATACCCAGTACCAAAAAAAGACAAATAAAAAAACACAGAGTAGACTGGGGTTGTTCTCAGTGGTAGAGCACCTGCCTGGAATGCCTCGTGTCATAGATTTGATTTCCAGTGACCCTCAGTGTGAAATCTCATCAAAAATTACATTGAATGTAGCCAGTAATCACAACACTCGGAGTGGTTTAGGCAGCAGGAAAATTACAAGTTGAAGCCCAGCCTGGGCAACTTAGAGAGACCCAGCCTCAAATAAAAAGGTCTGGAGATGGTAGCTCACGGAGAGGCCCCTTGAATTCAATTCTCAGTACCAGCAAATAAATTTTTAAAAAATCACAGTATGTATGTATTATGATTAAAATATATAGTGTATAAAATTTTTAATTCATTATAAAAGATGCACTGCCATTAATCCCCTGCAAAAATACTTCCCTTCACTTTGAACACATACTCCATCATTCTTGCCACTTTGTGAAACACTTCTGGAAGTCCTCCTTTAGTACTGTCTTTATGATAGATGATCAAAAGTATGGTGAATGCTGCTGCTGCATGCCGTCCCATAGAGAGGCAAGCCTGTAAATATGTTAAGATATGTCCTCATCCACCTCTGGCACTGTACAAAAATGACCATGAGAGCAAAACATTTTGAATCGAGTCGAGACACTAAGGCAGCCACAAAAGCACAACTAAAAACACTCATAAAGGACTTTCAGACCGAATTAACAAAATGACAGGAACAATGAGTTAAGTCTGCTCAAATTAAAGGGGAAGTATTTTAAGGCAGATTAGTGGCAATGTATAATATTTTTAAAATTAAAATTCACTGTATTTTAATCCTGCCACATATATTTGTATGTAATATACATACACATGTATTTTATGCACACACACAGAATACTATTTGAACTGAGCACCATTTAGGATGTTACAAATACAGCAGGAAAGCCAGGTGTGGTGGCTTATGCCTGTAATCTCAACGCTCAGAGGCCAAAGGAGGATCCTTGCTAGTTCGAGAGTTTGAGACCCACCTGGGCTACAAAGTGAGCTGGAGATGCATGCTGAGACCCTGTCTCAAAAAAAAAAAAAAAAAAAAAAAAAAAGATTTAAAAAATACAGCAGGAGCTGGGGATTTAGCTCAGCTGCATAAGTGCCCACATGGCAAGCGCAAAGTCGCTTGGTACCAAAAAAAAACAAAAAACCCCACAAAAAACAAAAAACCAGTAGGAACACCCAATTCCATACATCTTACATTCTATCAAGAAAAGAAAAATAGCACATGAAAAAGAATTAAAAACATGAGTATCTAATCAGACAGAAAGTACAGGCAGAAAAAAAATCACAGTAGCCACTGTTGATTTCACGAGACAAAATCATGAGGCAGCACATTCAAAAGTGGTTTTTTCTTGTTTTTGTTTGTTTCAAAACAGGGTCTTGCTATGTAATTCATGCTGGCCTTGAAATCATATATCCCAAGCTGGCCACAAATTCAGGGCATACCTGCTTCAGCCTCCTGAATGCTGGGAGTATAGGTGTGTGCCATGTCCAGCTATTCTAGCATCTTTCTGTAGTACCATCTGTGGATGATACTGTTTTATCCATTTCACATGAGAAGACGCAGAGGAGCTGTTATGGTCACTTTGCTAATAAACTTGGGGCTACGATTTCAGCTTGGCCTGAGGGGCCAGATTCTTCCTACTTTGTTGGGGACCAAATTCGAGGGAAGGTTTCTTAAAAAAGTGATGCTTAACTACACTGAAGTCTCAAAGTAAAACTAAAGTTGAAGAAGGGGAAAGTATGAAAAAGTAAGGGTAGAAAAGAACTTGGCTCTTTGAAAGAACAGTTCAGAGAGCATCAGATGTTGGGAGTGAGAGAAACGATCTGATTGAGAGGTGGACACATCAGGAAGGATTTAGAATTGGTTCTCTTATCCTGTCTTAAGAGGTCTAGGATTTATGAATGCTCCTAAATTTGAGTGGTGTGATAAGTCCTGTGCTATAGCTTCCCAGAGCTTCTAGAACTGTCCCGACAGTTGAAGACCAGGCTCACTACACCCCCATCTCCTCTTCAGGTTATACCTCCTGAATTGATTAGCCTTCCCCCCATGATCTGATTTCCAAACATTGGTACACATTATTGTTGGGACTCCACGTAGAACTTGGGAGTCCTCTGGAGTATATTTACTTGTGATTTTTCCCCCAAGGTTCAAGCACTGTCTTCCTGTTGGCCCTGACAATCATAGTCAGCACCCAGGCTCTGACGCCTACTCACTACCTCACCAAACATGATGTGGAGAGATTGAAAGCCTCCCTGGACCGCCCTTTCACAAGTTTGGAATCTGCCTTCTACTCCATTGTGGGACTCAGCAGCCTTGGGGCCCAGGTGCCAGATGTAAAGGTAAGGTTGCTCTTACCGTGGTGCCTAAAATGACTCAGGAGAGGCTGAATCCCCTAACTGTGTTGCACTCTGTTGTACCATATCTCTGTGAGCAAGACTGTTTAAAACCATATATATATATATATATTTCTTTTCTTTTCTTTTCTTTTTTATCGGGACCGGGGATCAAACTCACGACCGCCTGCTTGCAAGGCAGGTGCTTGTGCTGCTGAGCTAAATCCCCAGCCCCCAAACCAAATATATTTGTAAAGTGCCCAGGCATGTGGCTAATAGTTACAGGAAGGAAATTCAAGGTAGGGGCACTCACATGTATTAAACACTGTGTCAGGGATTTCTGATGGTTTGTTTTGTTTTCTGATGTATTTTTTTGACTTCTGTTGGAACGTATCATAATTAAAATCTTTTCTGGATTCAAAGAAAAGCTAAATGAATTTGTAATATATTAATTACAGTAGTATGGACAAATTACTATAAATTTAGGGGTTTTTTCTTGTAGCTGAGACAAAATACCTGACACCAAAGTTTAAAGGGAAAGGTTTATTTGGCTGACTGTTCATACAGGCTTCAGTCCATAATTGGCTTGCTCCAAGGCAGGGTGGCACATGGCAGAGGGGCAGCCCATTTGTAGTGGCCAGAAGCTAGCAAAATAAGTAAGGGACCTTAACATCTGTCCCTTTTATCTTATCCATACTATTTAGGGAGGGTCACATTCTCTTAATTCTAGTGCTCTTGATGTCTAACACTGCATTATGAATCAAGTCTAGTGTTATACACTCTAGATTCTGCCACCTCTGAAAAATCCCTATCTATGACTGTGTGAGGCTCTTGGGGGACATCTAGACACGAGCCATAATGGGTGTGAAGCCCCATTACCCAACATCTATTAATGCTAGTTCTGCATGTCAGAGTCTAGGCAGGCTTGCATAGGGTCTCTGATTAATGACTGCTAAGGTCAAGATAAAGGCTGGCCTGGATGAGCTTTTACTGAAGAAGAATTTGCTTTGCTGTGAATCTGCTTCATATTGTTGGCAGAAGCCACTTCCCTATGATTGTAGATTAGAGGTCTGCATTTTCTTGCTGGCTATTAGCCTAGAACACTGGTGGCAAAACTATAGCATGCATGCCCACTGTGGGCTGTTAGTTATTATTAAAAGCTCTAAGAGGTTTGCTCTCGCTGCTCTTCAAGGGTATGTAAATGTCCTCTGATGGGGTCGCCTCTTTCTTTAAACCAGCAGTGGCTTTTTTTTTTTTTTTTTTTTGTCTTTTTCCTTTTTATCGGTACCAGGGATTGAACTCACGACTGCCTGCTTGCAAGGCAGGCGCTTATGCCGCTGAGCTAAATCCCCAGCCCCAGCAGTGGCATTTTGAGGGCTTAGCTTCAGAGCTCTCTGATCTCTTCTACTTTTTTTTTTTTTTTTTGTCTTTTTTCCTTTTTATCGGTACCAGGGATTGAACTCAGGACTGCCTGCTTGCAAGGCAGGCGCTTATGCCGCTGAGCTAAATCCCCAGCCCCAATCCCTTCTACTTTTATCTAGAGAAAACTTTCTGTTGTTAAAAGTGCTCATGTGTTTAAGCTCACCTGGAAACATTCTGAATTTTAAGGTCAGCTGACTTGGGGCTTTAATTGTTCTTGAAAAATCTTTTCATAGCTATTCATAGATTTGTGTGTAAATAAATAATCAATAGATGAAAATTTTGGGGGTGAGTAGACATCTTTAGATTTTTCTTTTTCTTTTTTGCAGGAGAGGCAAAGTACTGGGAATTGAGCTCAGGGTCTTTTGTTTGCCAGACAGGCTCTGTGCTGCTGAGCTATATCCCCAGCCCTTTAGATTTCTGTCTGTGATCAATTATATTGAATTCAATTCCAAGTCTCGATAGCTTATGACAATAATTTATTTCTGGCTCAAACTATATGGCCATTGTGAGTCAGAGATGCTGTGCTTTTTTTTTATTCAGCCTAGGGTTTAACTGATAGTGCAGTCTCTCTCTGAAGCCTATGCAGGGGGCAAATGAGTACATGATACTTTAAAACTTGTGGTCAGAAGAGATACATGTCATTTCTTTTTACATTTCTCTTATCATTGTTTAATGCACAACATGGTCATGCCTGGTTCAACAAGTCAGGGAAGTAGAAAGGGATAGTGTGTTTTGGCGAATGATAACCCATCCAACTAGCCCTTGAATTTCTTTGTCTCAGTATTGCCCTGAGGTCCTCCCTGGCTTCAATCTTTTTTTTTTTTTTTTTGTCTTTTTCCTTTTTATCGGTACCGGGGATCGAACTCACAATTGCCTGCTTGCAAGGCAGGCGCTTATGCTGCTGAGCTAAACCTCCAGCCTCCCTGGCTCTAATCTTAGAACTAACTGTTGACTTACTTCAAAATTTCTCTGAGGAAGCTGGGAGTGGTGGTACACACCTATAATTCCAGTATTTAGGGGCTGAGGCAGGAGGATTGTTGTGAGTTTAAGGCCAGCCTAGGCTACATAGTGAATTCAAGACCACCCTAAACTACACAGCCAACTGTGTCCAAACTCTCACCCCTCTAAAAACAAAAAAAGACTTCTTTGAGGAGGGTAGTGATGACCCTGGTCTGTTGGATTGACAACTTAGCCCTGAGTATTCTGAACTCCTCATTCATTGAGTAGTTGTTACTGAACACCTATGCTGGGCCCTGGGTATGCAGTGGGAAATAAGTCATAATCACTGTCCTCAGAGAACTCACAGTGTAGTGAAAGCTAGAACAAGATGCTGTAGTCTGGTAAGCGTCCTGCAAAGGCCTGTGCTCTGAAGGATTGGTCCTTAGCTTGTGGCACTATTGGGAGGGGGTAGAAAATTTAAGAGGTGGGGCCTAGTGCAAGTCTTTAGACATTGAAGCTTTGATCTTGAAGATGGTTGAACTCTTTTAAAAGAGAGAGTTGAACCCTCTCTTACTTTCTCAGTAAAAGAGAGCCAAGAGGTAAATGGATTTATTGCACCATGCTGCAGTCTTGCTGTGATTTGGCACCACAGGTTCAAAGCAACGCGGCTAGGCAGACAGGAATGCCATACGAGTAGCTCTGTGGCTACAGAGTGAACATCCATTGCCACCTTTTTTATGTGGAGGCAAAGGATGTCCACCCATAGGATGCATTCTAGTACAGGGGAGATACGCTTGATGTAGGCTTGAGGGGGCAGATGACCTGTATGTAGAGTCACAGTTGTTGGTTTCACTTTGATGGTACATCTCATAGTCATATGTAAGCCACCTTCCCAAGAATTTTGCAGGATAGCCATAAAATCAGGGTACAGTCTATCCCAGTGTTAATGTTGCATATTTGTGGGGGACCAATGAGTAACAAGTTCAACATGAATCCTCAGGTCTTCCAGTGTTCCCCCTAACTGTGCATTTTGACCCAGCCTCTAATTAAAATTAAGTGCCTGCATGGCATCTTCTGGAGGGGTCATGTAGTCTTTCAGGTTTATGGTGCAAGTATGGACTATTTCTCTCCCTGGGGAGCCTTCCCCTTTGGAAACTGCTGATTAAAGTATAGTTGCCTTGTGTGGTAACAGCACATCATTTGGCTGTCTTCTGTCTGCTTGGGCTCCTGCATCTTCATGGCATGAATTCCTCACTCCTTTCTGTGCCCTTCAGTATCTCCTGGGTCTGTACTGTAGCTTCTTTCTCCTGGCCTTGGGCTCAGTCACAGCCCTAGATCCACCTTCTGGTACTGTGACTGCCAGTGACTGCCAGTCCCAGCATGCTTGGTTAAGCTCCTTCCAAGCCCCACTGGCCATCTGCCTTTGCTTTTGCCATCAAACTGTCCCATGTCCAGCTCTCATATGATTTCCATCCATTCCTTGTACTCACAATCTCTGACAGTTCCTTGGAGCCTGCCATAAGCCTGTTTTTCAACATGTAGTCTCTGGCCTGATGGGCTGCGTTTCTAGCAGTGGCTCTGGCTTGGTTGTGGCCTGCTTCTGGGTCTATCTTGGACCTGGATTTAGATTTTACTGTGGATCTGGTGTGGGGTTGGTCTTCAAGCTGCTGGAGTGGACTTTGCTCCTGTCCCTGTCCTGCTGCCCCTCTTCTTTATCTTCAAGGCTTTGGCAGGCTGCAGCTTGCCGCTTCATTGTCTCTGTCACCACTACATGGGCTTTCCTGATGGCAGCAGCTCAGTGCAGTATTTTCTTTTTTTTTTTTTTTTTTTGTCTTTTTCCTTTTTTTTTTTTATTGGTACCAGGTATCGAACTCACGACTGCCTGCTTGCAAGGCAGGCGCTTATGCCGCTGAGCTAAATCCCCAGCCCCTCAGTGCAGTATTTTCAACCCTTGAGCTGTGTTTGTGAGCTCTGTTATCTCCTCAGCATATTCTTTTTGCACACAGACTTACAAGCAGTATGTATTTCTTCTTTTAACTCTTTTCTAAGCCGTTTCCTCTTAGTGAGGTTTTTTTCTTTGGCCTGGGCTGCATTGACTTCTGCTGTACCAGTTCAGATTGGGGAGGTTCACTTGAGAGATGGGCAGCCCGAAGAGACACAGCCATAGACTGAGTGTACATCTTTATTTAACTGCTCAGCTCAGCTCAGCTCACTTTGTCTACCCAACTGCTTAATTGTAGTCCATTTTGTTTAGCTGCATACTTCTAGCATTCTCCCCCAGTCAGCCCTTGTGGTGTTCCAGATAGATATAAAAAAACACAGTAGTTGCTATGTGGCATATCACCTTGGTTATATAAATTACAGTATCTACATGGAGATCCTGAGGTGTACCTGTGCAGGAATTGTGGTGACATAGGACTTTTGTCCTTTGGAAGACACACAAACAGACACAGACACACAGACACAGAGACACAGACACACACACACAGACACAGACACACACGGTCTGAACTACAGCATAACCACCTTTGGCTTAATTTTTCTTATATCCCCCCTGCTTCAGCTTCTTTGAGTATCTGAAACTACAGGGACACACCATAACGACTAACACCTGTGAGTTGTGAGTATTTTAAGCAAATATCAGG